ATTCTCTGGTGGTCTTTGCTTCTGCTCATGGTTCTTCTTTCGTTCTGCTTCTCTGCTTCTCCTGCTTCTCCGTGACACCGTCCTTGAAAGCCCAGTCTCAGCCCAGGTGAATCCCATCTACCTATGCCCACACCCAGGTGCCCGCCATCAGGCATGCATTCAGGACCGCAAGGATCCATCATCTATTCTGATAGCGGGAGGGCAGAAAAGCCTGATACTTTTACCTTACCCAACAGTGTTCATTCAATAATTGTTTGTGGGATCCTTGTCTGCCAAAACTGGTGTGGTGCTCACTGGGATACCCTGGGGAGCAAGACAGATAGCCCAGCCCTCCTAGAGCTCGTCTAAAACTGAGATCCTCCAAGTATGTAGCAGCAGCACTTGTGAACTTGTTAGAAATGCAAATTCACGGCCCTACACCAGAGTCCTAGATCAGAAACTCAGTTTAACAAGCCCTCCAGGTGATTCTAACATATCCTAAAGTTGAACCACTGAGCATGGGTTTGCACCTCAGGGCAATGCCCGCCCATCCCCCACCCTCCCACGGAACATTTGGCAAAGTCTGGAGACATTTTTGGAGGTCATAACTGGGTGAGAGAGAGAGGTTACTATTGGCTTCGAGTTGGTAGAGGTCAGGGACACTGCTAAACACTCCACAGTGCACACGGGAGCCCCCATAGCAAAGAATTATGTGGTTCAAGATGTCAGCTGCCGCATCCTGAGCAATCCTGTCCCAGTGCAGTTGTGATGGGGGCAGGAAATGCAATGATTCTTTTCTCCCTTTATTCCTGGGGTGAGTCATTACCCCTTTGGGCCTCAGTTTCTTCAGCTGTAAAGTGTTGGGCTGAGGGCTTTCTAGCTTGGCTGTTCAGTAACTCCAATCTAGGGACTTTTTGGCAGGTGGTTGGGCTGATGTAAGCTTTTTCTTCCTTTTAGTTGTCGAAGGAGAAAAACCCTGATGAGGCTAAGCTAAAATAAGGGTATGTATTGGGGTCTCAGATTTGCAAACCAGGAAGCACAAACTCTGGTGATCAGCCCACATTGTGTCCCACAGTGATCTTTAAGAGGGTGATGGGGGTGGGGGGATGAGAATGAAAGGGAAAAGGAGAGAACTGTAAAAATTAGGGTTGGTTATAGATTACATTTCTTACAGTTCACGGGCTTTTAGTTAAAATGCCCTTGGTTACTATGGGGAGAAGAACCAAAAAAAAGTATCTTTGTACAATTTTCAAAGACCATGTCTAACTGGAAACCAGCTCTTGCTAGTCACTAAGTATTTTTTAGTAAAAATTAAAAGTTGAGTAAAATGGAGAATGGGCACAAGATGGAGTCAAAGTTGAGTCAGCCTGACCCTTTTCCCACGGCCAAGTGGCCCGGAGCCCCTGTTAGGGACGGGAGGGCTCTGTCATCTGCCTAGTTATCTGCCTCCCAGCCCAGGCCGGCTGCTGCCAGAGTTTAGCTGGCCTTGGGTTTCCTGTGGAGAGTCCTCCCCTGGCCACAAGGATGCTGCCCCGGGAGCAGGCCCAGGGGAGGGAAGAGCCACTAGTGGGCTCCACGCCCTCACCTCCTTAGTCCAGGGAGCTGGGCCAGTCTCCTGAATCTCACACTTACACTTTCCTCATACTCTAAATCAAGCAGCCTCCCTGGCAAAGGAGCTCGGAGGCCTGAGAACCCCTGCCTGCTGGGGGCTGTGTCTGGGGTGTGTGGCAGTAATCTGGGGCTTAGGGGCGGGGTCAAGCCGAAGTTGGGTGTGGGCACCTGGGCTCTCATTGGTCGGGCTCCGAGGCCTCCTCTTTCCAGGGCTCGCTGACCCGTCCACTCCTTCAGCCCAGAACCGCTGCCCCTCCTGTGCCAGGAAGCGGGGAGGTCATGTTTATTTCAGGGAGAGTTGTGCAGGCGTGGGAGCCAGCGTGGGTCAGCGGTTTCAGTTTCTGTGCGGTTGTGGCTTGCCTGGGCTCTGGGGTCCAGAGAATCCGTGTAAAGGCTTGAAGCTGAAAACAGATGCGGAGGGGAGACTGTGGAGGGGCGTGCAACATGTCCAGTGATTGGGAATGAATGCTTTGGCTGCACAGCCTAGTGCTCACAGTTGCGGTGTTATTTGGGGCAAGGCTCTTGCCTACTCCTAATTCTTTCCTTAAATCAGTGGAAAGGAAAGTCAGGCTGGATGAAGTTAGGCTCCTGGCATTTACCGTGGTTTATCACATGCCTTGAAAGCCCACTTGCAATCATCAACACCCAGTTACACCAGCCAACCGTACTGCCTGTGCATTTAATACCCACTATTAAATAAAGGACAGTTACTAGGCAGCGTATTAATGCATTCAGTAAAGCCTGCTTTGTTATCTGAGATTACACCTGTCCTTGACCCATGTTCTAATGTTCCCATTATCTTAATTTCCCCTTCAATCTATTGCTTTGCCCCTGGCCTTCACTTATAATGCCTTGAGCAGTGCTGGTGTAGGCCATCATTTTGGCCTAGGCCTGGATTCCCTGTGTTTAGATAGGACTCCTAACCCTGATCACTCAGCACTCTGTCTCTGGGTCAGCCTAGTTTTGCTGCTTGAAGTCCAGGCGAGATAACCACACTGAGCGAACAATAGTATCAGCTGAGTTGTCAAGATCACACATTGTGAAAAAGCTGTAGGAAGCAGGGGCAGGCTGGCAGCCCGCCCTGCCCCTCCTTGTGGGCCCCTAGAATGTAGCTATGGGAAGGTAGTCAAAGGGCAAGAAGAAGAGCCCGTACGACAGGTGAAAGCACTGGGACAGATCTACCCAGAAGAGGGAACGTTGTGCATTTGTGTCCCAGAGCAAGGTGACAGCAGTGCTCTTGGCCTCTGTGAGGTAAGAAGGGGGGTTTTATAAAGCTCTCTTGGGAGGTTGAGAAGGTTTATGCCTCTTGATTGTTTATTAAACTCCCTTGACAACACTCCTTTGACAACATTGTGCAAAATTTGTCTTATTTGCTTCCACTGAGTACACTGCTTGCATAAATATTAGCAGAATACCTTGCTGTACCAAGTTTCATGTGGGCACTGGGGGCAGGGCAGGGACCAGGACACAGTACTTGCCTTCCCAAGCTCCAGATGATCGTGGTGCTGCCACCTGCTGCTGCTGCCAAGGGCAGCCCTACTCTCTGCCTCCACACCTTCCACAGCCCCACCATGGGCGCCACAGTCCCTAAAGATTGTCTTCAGATATGGCAGAATCCAGTAGCTGGCTCTTCTCCATCTTCTCAAATGGGTAGGATTTCCTGGCAAGGACAGAGAGTCTCTCTGGAATTGGAAGAAGAGTGTGCACATGTTTTCTTCTGAGCTTAAACTAGGAGGGATCATCTCCAGCCATCCCCTGCCTGTTTTTAACTGTAGGCGTGCCTATGGCCACACCCCATCCACTTGCTAACTCATGAAGGACCATGTGCTGTGTGCTTGGGATTAATATATGGATGCCATGACCTGTCCTTGGGCTGGGGCAGAGCAAAGGAGGACATACCAACTGCTACATCTCCAACTGAGAGGGCAGAGATCTTCTGTATGGCACAGCGAAGATTATTGTCCGTTGAGTGAATGAGAACATGAGTCACTTCAGGGCTGCCATAATCTAAATAATCTAAATTTGGGTGATGAGGGCTCTGGTTCTGGGAAGGAGGCTGGGAATGGAGGTACCTTGGTCTGAGTGGCATTAGGACTGACAGTGGACAGGTATGAAGGAAGCATCAGAGGCAACTCCGGGGACTGAGTGTGGGAGCTGGGAGGGCAGCAAGGGGCAGGGAGTTGATGCCAGTGGACCTGTGTCAGGAAACCCCATTTCTGGGCCACCATGGGGGAGATTTCAAGAACTGGCACCTTGTGGCCCAGTTCTCAGCTTAGAGGGGCAGCTCTCGGCAGGAACAAATCTCAGGAACTCGACAAGCTGCTAGCAGGATCTTGCAGTGAATAGAGGGCATGTGGGGATGGGTTTCCAAGCTGGGACTTCCCCTGCCTCAGTTTCTGGAACAGAGTCGGGGTGGCATTGGGGAGTCTTGCCTGGTCTTGGACGTGATATTCTCACCTCCAGGTGAGTCCTAACGATACCGCAGCTCTGGCGTGAGGCCTGTGTCCTTATTCATGCACATATCTCCCCACATGAGCTTTCTTCAGGTTACTTCCCTGGGAATTTGGAAGGTGAACAGCTAGATAACAATGCCCAGCCAGTGGCTTCCTGATATTGGTTTGCAGGAACTAAGCCCTTCTTTCTTCCCGTTCTGTGAAAAAATAGGGGAGTCGACAAATGGGGGATTAAAACAGCTGAATTTATGTGAAATGTGAAACTGAAAGTAGATTAGTGGTTGCTTAGGGCAGGGTGGGGTGGGGCGAGAAAGGGTGTAGCTAAAGGGACGGGGTTTCCCTTTGTGATAATGGGAATGTTCTAAAATAGTAGTGAGAGTTTGTGTGTCTGAATATACCCAAAGCCACCGGCTTGTACATTTGAAATGGGTGAATTCTGTTCAGAATTACTTCTCAAGAAGGTCATTAAAAGACAGCTGAGATGTGTGGTCACGTTAGGGCTGACCTCCAGTGTTTCAGATTTCCCCCGACCCCCAACCCTTGCTCCTGAGGACAGGCCCCTCTCAGAGGGACACATCTAGGGGCAACAGTCCTATACCTGAGAAGAAGAAGTTGGTCCTCACCTCTTGGGGAAAGGGCATGAAGGAGATAGAGAGAAGCTTCTGGAGCATAAGCCCCTCAGAGAAACAAGTCCTCAAAATTCTAGCCACTAATACCCAAAGTTGTGCTGAAGCCAGCCTGGGTTCACATTTCACCAATTTGATGAATGAATTTCATTGCTAAGTAGGGGAGTGAGTTTTGCCTCTTTTTATTTTGTTTTCCAATTTTTCTATATTGTGTATTTTTCAGATCAAAAGTACATAAAATCAGCGGTTGGGTGGGAGAGAAGTTGGGGATTTGGCATCTCTGGCCAGTGGGTGGTCTCTGTGGCTGATGCCTACCCCCCACCCCTTACAGGAACCATGTGGCTAGAAATTCTTCTCGCCTCCGTGCTGAGCTTTGTCATCTACTGGTTCGTCTCTCGGGACAAGGAGGAAACTTTGCCACTTGAAGATGGGTGGTGGGGGCCTGGGGTGAGGCCCACAGCCAAAGAGGATGAGAGTATTCGCCCTTTCAAGGTGGAAACATCGGACGAGGAGCTCAATGTAAGGCACCTTCCTGGGTAGGGCTGAGCCTACCTGGGGAGGGCAGGGAAGCCTCTGGTTGTTTCTAGGGGTCTGGAGTCGGGACTGGAAGGGGACTGGGCTCGGAAATTAGTCCCTCTTGGGAGTATTTTTCTGTGTGCCTGTGTGCCAGTGGGAACTGGGCAGGTGTGGGTTGCTGCAAAGAGGCCCAGGTTGCCCTCCCTGTCCCTTCTGCTCCTTTCTCTCCAGTATGCCCCTGCCTTCCCCTAACCAAGGCCCTGAAGTTTCCAGGGCAGGAAAACAGGTGCCAGTTAGACCCAGTTACATGTGTTAAAGGTCACAGTAGGCAGCTGATTTCACCTCCTTTGTGCCCCACCTAAAACCTTTGGAGTAAGTTTATAGGAGAAAGTGAGCAGGCCCTAGTGAGGGCCTGGGCAGAGATCCTGTGTGAGAAAGCAAGTTGAGGGGGACATAAAATGCTGAAGCACAGAGAAGGCAGGGGCCATCAGGTCTTAGCACCTACTGTGTGCAGCCATTTGTGGTCACATTCAGCCCTTCCATAATTCTGTCACAAGGACTGTTCTCATCTTAGAGATGTAGAACTGAAGCTCAGAGAGGTGAAGCAATTGGTCCAAAGTGACTGAGACAATAAGCAGACTCGGGTCTAACTCCAAAGCTGCTGTCCTCACCTCCCTAGGGAAGGACATGAGTGGTGGACTGGGCTGAGCTGAGAGGTCAGCCTCACCCCAGAAGAAGGAGGAGGAGCTAGACCCACCCAGGGCCAGGCGGGTAGGTGGGGCTGGTTGTCTCTCTCCATTCAAATTTTCACTGCGTAGATATTGGAACACCTACTGTGTGCAGACACTGTGCTGGGTGCTTCAAAGAAAAATGGTCATCTCTTCCTTTAAATAGCTCATAGGTGAGAAAAGGAATGTGCACAGGGAAAAATTAAAGAGATTCCTGGGGATCAATGCCATAGCAAGATAAAAAGGAGGAAGGCATTAAAAAGTAGAAACTGGGACACAACTAAAAGAAACCAGGCTGAGGCTCCCTTGGTAGGATTTGATGAGGCCTTGCTGTTTCGAACAGAGGCTGGGCACTGGGGATAACTCCTGCAGGAGTCTAAGCTTTCTGAAATCTGTTTGGAGGTGATGGAAGTGCTTGGGAGGAAGCCCTGGAAAGAGTAACACTTAAGAGACCCTGGGGGCCATCTTGAACTTGCCCTAGGCAGGGCCTGATGCGCACCCACTACACCTGTGTCCTCTCTCCTGGCCATTAATTCTCATCCCAGCTGAGTTGCATTGTGTCATTCAGTGTTGTGTATCAGTCACAGCCTGTGAGACAGATCTGGCCCACGGCCTGATTTTGTACAACCACCCCGCTAAGAATAACTTTTACGTCTTTAAATGGTTAGAAAAAAAAAAGTAAAAATACTTTTGTGACATGAAAATTAGATGATGTTCAAACTTGTGTCCATAAATCAGGCTTTACTGGAACACAGCCACACCCTTCGACCACACTTGTCTATGGCTGCTTCCACCCTCCAAAGACAGAGCAGAGTAGCTGCAGCTCAAAAAGCCTCAAATATTTACTCTCTGACCTTTTCCCAAAAGAAGGTTGCCACTTTTAAGGTAAATTAAAGCTGCTTGTTGTTAAGACGTGTTATTAAACGAAAGATGAGAAGTAAACCGAAGTCGAAAGTGAAGAACACCTGTGCTCTGGGACCAGCCACCTGGTGGGAAGCCTGGGGAACAAGGAGATTTTTTCTGGGATAAACCTGACCCCTACAGCGCCAGTCTGCCCCCTCACTCCCTCAGGGGAAGCTTTGCTATAGCGCAGTGTCTTCTGGTCTCAGGTTGCTCTGGCTTCTGGGAACCAACTCTCTTGTGCTCCTCTCCTTGGGTCCTGCGTGTTGCTCTAGGACTTACACCAGAGGCTGGAGAAGGCCCGCTTCGCCTCACCTTTGGAGGACTGCCGTTTCCACTATGGTTTCAACATTAACTACCTGAAGAAAGTCGTCTCCTACTGGCGGAATGAATTTGACTGGAGGAAGCAGGTGCAGATTCTCAACAGATACCCTCACTTCAAGACTAAGATTGAAGGTATGTTTAAAACAGCAACTGGAGGGGATGTATGTCACAGGAATGGCTTTCTTAGTTGCCAGGCCTGACTTAAACAAAAGTGGGGAGACACAGAATGCAGTTCTAGTGGTCATTAAAATGTATTTATAAGGTGTGACTTCAGGATGCAAAAATAACGCAAAATCCCAATAGATCCAACAGTCTGTAGAACTAGTGTACAGGCAGGAACGGGCACAGTGCAGGTTTTCTGATCCCATGCAGACCGGGTAAAGGAGGAGTCAGAGTCCTCAGTGGTTTTGCAGGTTTTTTATTGGGGTTCACCAGGCATATGGCAGGCAGGGGTGCTGGCTGGGGGGCTGGGAGGCTGGCAGGCCTCCCAGCCCCCAGCAAGTCTTCACTCTATCTGGACTCTCTGGTGTTCTTTCTGCTGCTTCTCGGCTTCTCTTTCGGCTTCTGCTGCTGCTCGCGTCCCCGTGACGCCGCCCTTAAAAGCACAGTCTTAGCTCAGCTGAATCCCATCTACCTATGCCCACACCCTACTCCAGGTGCCCGCCATCAGGCATGCATTCAGGACAAGGATCCATCATCTATCCTGATGGCGGAAGGGCAGAAAAGCCTGATATTTTCTTTACCCTACAGTCCACCCCCTCAGGGTTTTCTGCCATACAGTCTATACATATATATACAATTTTCTAAGCAAACAAACAGTGCAGCCATGGCCCACAAAAGCAAATACATCAAATAGAACAAAATACAACAGAACACAAGTCCAGGCAGGGCACCAACCTAGTGCAAAAGACAATTATTGGTACCAGCAGATGAGCCACCAAATCTGCTGCCGAAGGCACTGCTCATACGAGGGAGGGGAATCACTCACGGCATCTACTGTAACACACCAGGAGCCGTCAGGCTTCCTGGCCTTCTCCGGCTGTAGTCTAGGCTACAAGGCACACACAGCATCCACCCCCAGGATGCACTAGCTCTGGGATTGGCAATTTTATTCTGTTGGGGGTAATCGCCAACCCTCAGGGTTTCTGTCTGCAGTCGCTCCAACACTCGGCCTTCACAGCCACCCATGCGACTCGCAGACCCCTGCACTCAAGCCAACCCACTGCACAATCACATGGATTGGGGATCAAAACTCTACATTTGGCTTGGGCTCCACCCCAAGCCACGTACCCCACCCGTCCCCCAAGGACAGGTTCCTCAGCTCCTCACCCTCACTCAAGAATGAGCAGGGCATCACCCACAGGTGATTTTACGAGACTCACAGTTCTTCAGCATACTCAGGCTGCTTAACAGCCGCTTAGGGCTTCTCAACTTAGCATCAGTACCAGCTTTTGCCTTCTTAGTTGGCTTTTCTCCTCCACCTGGCTGCTGGGCATGCACAGGCTGCTTTTGGCCATCTAGGCCCACTGGCCACCCCCAGATTCCCATCTCCTGGGGTTTACAAACAAAACTGTTCCACCCCTAGGCTCCCAAAACATATCAACCTGCAAGGTCTTCTGCCTTCTGGCGGGATTGTCAGTCCTAGTCCATCAGTCCATCAGTTCAAGTCCATTGGCCTCTCCCTACGTCAGCAACGGCCTGCTGCCTCAGGGGTCATTGGCTGGTCCTTTCCGGTGTCGTTGGCTGGTCCTTTTGGGCGTCTCCTTCACGCCAGGTCTCGTCCTGTAGCTCGTGGACGTTGTCCACCTTCTGTGCCGGCATGGCACCTCCAGCGTCATCACAGGCAGTCTGTTCTCCTTAGTCCCTCCAGGTCTTCGGAGGGCTCCAATACCCGTCTGCATGGATCTTGCCGACTTACGCCAATTGTAAAGGGCCGGACTGGACGCGGAGCAGGTTTTCTGATCCCATGCAGACTGGGTAAAGGAGTCAGAGTCCTTAGTGGGTTTTTGGAGGTTTTTTATTTGGGGTTCACCAGGCATATGGCAGGCAGGGGTGCTGGCTGGGGGGCTGGGAGGCTGGCAGGCCTCCCAGCCCCCAGCAAGTCTTCACTCTATCTGGACTCTCTGGCGTTCTTTCTGCTGCTTCTCGGCTTCTCTTTCGGCTTCTACTGCTGCTCGCGTCCCCGTGACGCCGCCCTTAAAAGCACAGTCTTAGCTCAGCTGAATCCCATCTACCTATGCCCACACCCTACTCCAGGTGCCCGCCATCAGGCATGCATTCAGGACAAGGATCCATCATCTATCCTGATGGTGGAAGGGCAGAAAAGCCTGATATTTTCTTTACCCTACAACTAGACAGGAAAACATCCAAGTAATTTAAAAACCAAAGAAAGGTAGAATTCACTCGAGTGATGGAACAACCTTTGAGAGGATGGAGACAAGACTTAGACTTGGACATGGCCTTGGTCAGTTAAATCCCTGCCTGAAGTTTTGCAAAGAGTTCATGATATTGTGACTGTTCAAAGGTGTTTAGCCTGTCAAAGTGCTAAGAAAATTTTCCTGTCTGTAGCTCTACACCTCATGTCCCAACTGTGCCAGAGATTGTCACACACCTTCAACTGGGAGAGAAGCTACCCCTCAAAATTTTCTTGGGAAGGCAGCCTCAAGATCATTTGGGATAGACAAAGTTTTCTTTCTTTTTTTTATTTTTTATGCATACCAGAGCTAGGGTATAGGCCAGCTAGGGTATAGGTATAGGTGAGAGGATTTATCAGACACAAAGTAGAGAACAGAACAGGCAGATGGAATGAAGTACACTGCTGAGGGGAGCAGCAGGCGAGCCAGGAGAGGTCTGCCTCACCATGTGGGTTTCTCCCTGGCCGGCCAGGGATTGAACTCATGCTGCAGAAGGTGCATTTTTTTAACTCCATAAAGATTTAGAATCAAATGTGGACATAGGTAAGAAAACGAAACTCATGCTATTAATTTTTAAATTTTCATTTTTATTTATTTATTATTTATGTTATTGCATAACATAAAACCGGCCATTTTAACATTGCTACACAGCAGCTGTCTGTCCGTAGAACTTTTTTTATCTTGCAGAACTGAAACTCTGTACCCGGTAAACAATAATTGCCCATACCCTTACCTCCCTAGCCATGGAAACCACCTTCTATTTCCTGTGTCTATAAATTTATGTATGAATTCTGTACCTAAGTACCTCCTATGAGTGGAATCTACAGTATTTGCCCTTTTGTGACTGGCTTATCTCACTTAGTATCATGTTCCCCAGTTTTTTCTGTGGTGTAGCATGTGTCAGAATTTCCTTTCTTTTTGAAGTTGAGTAATAGTCTATTGTGTGGATTTAGTGCATTCTGTTTATCCATTCATCTGTCAGTGGACACTGGTGTTACCTCCCCCATGGAGCAATTGCAAATACTGTTGCCATGAACACAATTGTACAAATATCTGTTCAGGGGCTGCTTTCTGTCCTTTGAGATACGTACCCAGAAGTGGAATTGCTGGGTCAAATAATAATTCTATGTTGAAGTAAATTATTAAGGAACTATCTTACTGCTTCAAGAGCGGAAAGATACAGCCTGCCGGCAGCGTCTAGAGTCCCCATGTCTGTGTCCTTGCCAGTGTATATTATAGTCTCTTTGTTGTTATAATCGCCAACGTAATGAGTGTGAAGTATTATCCCATTGTGGTTTTGAGTTGCATTTTTCTAACGATTAATGACATTGAGCAAAGTCTTTTCATGTGCTCATTGCCTATTTGTTTATCTCCTTTGGAGAAATGTCTATTCATGTCCATTTTTGAATTGAGTTATTTGGTTTTGTTGCTGTTTGTTTTAGGAGTTCTCTTTATATCCTGAATATTAATCCCTTATGTGATAATATAATTTGCAAGCATTTCCTTCCAATCTGGGGTTGCCATACTATTAAATTTTCATGTTGAGGAAATTGTGCATGTTTAGAATTTTAAATGGTTGTGATGTTTGAGCAAATTTGGCCTTTTCAAGTAACAGACAAAATTTTTGTGATCTGCTTTAAAAAGTGTGGGGATTTAGACCTGTGACTTTATATGGGAGTCTTACTGAGCTTTTATTAGTATTTGTAAGATTTAAGTCTCACCATATATATAAATTTAATTTATTAAAATTCTAAGAATTACTTAAAGAATGTGGAAGACATATTAGTCAGATCCATTAAGTTCTTAAAAAGAAAATTGAAGTTATACAATGTCTAGAGGAATATCAAGCAAGTTTAGAAAGGCAACCACCCATTAATCAAAGGTCCCTGGAGAATGACTGTCAGCATTTGCTAGATTAATATATAGAATAAGATTTATATACTGAATGTCACTGCTTAATGAAAAACTAGATTTTTCAATTTGTAACTTTAGATTGGAGAATAATTTTAAAAACCAAAGTCATCTCTGAGTATTCTCTTTTGCACATGAAAACTACACTCAAGGTCACTAGAAAACTCTCAGGGACAGTGTAGATGGCAGACCTTGGCACGGTGGTTGGGATGTTCCCTCGTGCTTGTTCTGTGATAAGGGGATCACAACTCCACTGCAGGGGTGGGCATGAGGATGACGTGATAGGGTGGGGAGAAGCTCTGCCCTGGAGAAGCCTGGTCAGCAAGCGTCCTTCCTCCAAGCATGAGGAGGTTGGGTCTGGGCAGAACAGTGAGAGAAAAGACAGGTAGGATTCAGTGTCCTGGGGCAGGAGCCCTTGTTGGAGCTAAGCCAGGAGTACACAACAACAGTTCTGGAATGATTTTTTGAGTCAGACTTGCATCCTCACCAGTGTTGCTATACCCGTTAGAGGACTTTAATGTCTTCTGCCATTATTCTAAAAGAGAATCTAAACTACTTTGTCTAAGCCAGAGCACATACAGATCCTTGTAGTACAGTTGACCCTTGTACAACTACAAGGGTTCATCTACATGTGGATATTTTTCAATAAATCCAGTCACCTCTCCGTATCCACCCCAGATGTCAGTTGGTTGAATCCATGGACGTAGAACCTGCAGATGCGAAGGGCCAGTTATAAGGGACTTGAGCATCCGCCGATTTTGGTATACTAGGGGGGGACCCTGAATCTAAGGGATGACTGTAGATAAGCTTTTGGGGAGCAAAAGTTACATGTGGATTTTCTACTGCACGTGGGGAAGGGGTGTCACTGTCCCTAACCCCTCATTGTTCACAGTTAACGATAATTCCAAAGGTTGTCATTTGGATCTCTGGTGCCAAATTTCGGCTTCCCTGGGTTGACTCAGACCCCTCTGTTGCCCCAACTTTTCAATGTCCATCCAGCATGTATTGACAAGGCATCTCCTGTACCTAGGCATTCTGTTAGGGCTGAGGAAACATAGTCGAAGGGCAGGGACCCTGCTTCCTGGTACATGGGCCACCAGAGTGTGAGGGAAGGCTTCCTAGAGGCGGTGACAGTCTAAGCTGAGATTCAAAGGATGAATAGGAGCTTACCAGATGAGTGGGGAAGATGACCCAGGAAGAAGAAACAGCATGTTCAAAAACCCACAGACAGGAAGTACTTTAATGACTGTTCCCTCCTAGAGGCTGCAAGCTTGGAAAGCTTTACCCCTCTGGACCACTTCAGGGTTCCTCGGGACATCACAGGATGTTTATAGCAGAAAGCCTCTCCAGGGTACGAGTGCCCCAAAGGGAGCAATTTCAGGGACAGCAGCACGCTGTGACCAAACCCACGTGTGGTTCAGTTATTTCCCCAGGCTGGCACCTAGCCTTGGCCAGATATTACAGTGTGCTCAGCTCCAAAAAGGCGGCGCTGTCTACCTCAGTCTGAGGCCTAGAAAGCCTTCAACGTGTCTCTGCAGGTTGTTCAAGAAAACCTCCCTCCTCTCTCTCTATTTGCTGCCATCCTCCTCCACATTTGACCCTTTTCAAAGTCCTCTCTGCCTCTGTTCTGACTGACCACTGTGCTCTGGGCTGCTCAAGCCTCCAATGTTTTGTCCCAGACCCTACCAGCCTCATGGTTTAGCCTCCCTGCCCCTTTCACTTCTTGTTCTGTGAGAACCTTCTGGTTTTAGCCTATGTCCTGGCCTCCCACCATAGAAGAACAGTCTGTAATTTCAGAGAGTGAGAATGTGCAGGGGCTTCAGAGGCCTCCAGGGGAGTCCACCCCATCACTCCAGAGAGGAGGGCATTGCCTAAGTCACAGGGACGTGGACAGCCAACTCCTGACTTGCAGCCTGTCCCTTTTCCCCCCACCTTTGGCTCAGGCCCCAGCCTGTGACACCTCCTACTGGCCAGGCCCGGTGTGCTGCCTTCTGAGGCTTGAATTCTGGCTCCTGGATTCTTTTTTTTTTTTTTTATAGAGGCATGTTTTTCATTTATTTATTTATTTGTTTGTTTGTTTGTTTTGTTTATACAAGCACTGGGTACAGTCAGAAGCGCGGGAGGGTGAGAGAATTCACCAGAGCCAGAGCGGGGAGCAGAGCAGGCAGAAGGACCGAAGTACACTGCTGAGGGGAGCAGCGGGCGGCAAGAGAGGTCTGCGCGCCATGTTGGGCGGCAGGAGAGGTCTGCGCGCCATGTGGGACCCTCCTCCGGTGGCCGGGGAGCAGCCGGGGATCGAACCGGCGCTGCAGAGGCTGCAGGCAGCTTCGCAACCCAGCGCTCAACCACTGCACCACCGGGGAGGCCCCTGGCTCCTGGATTCTGACCCCGCAGCCCAATGCCCAGTGCAGCGGCACCACAGACCTTCAGGAAAACAGGGAGAACATGTCCTTCTCAAAGAAAAGGGGCCTAGTGTAAACTATGAGGCCTGGGTTTTAATTTTTTTCTTAATTTTTAAAATTCAGAGACTACAGGATACACTGTGAAAAGGAAGTCTCCCTCTCTGCCCTGCCCGCAGCCCCCAGTTTCCACCTCAGGGCAGTTTCTGCTTCTTTTCTCTATAATTCCAGGGATAGCCCGTGCACACACAAGCACACATGTATATGTGTGGCTTTTGAGTGACTTTTTTTTAATTTTAAACTCAAATAATGTGATATAATTTGAATTAAAAATAATTTTACATCATGCAGTATGTTCCAAAGGAAACAAGATTACCTACTAAAATAAACTTCAGAATAGAAGTAAATTTAGCAACCTAGAAGGACACCCAGGATATATTGTTAAATGGAAAAAATAAGGTTCCAAAATAGACTGTATGCAGGGTTCTATTTTTGTTAAAAGAAAGTTATGTTCCCTAAGTATTTTTTTAAAAAGTATGAACTGTCACAGCCACCAGGGCTCTGAGGAGTCATGACAACTAAATGTCATGTGGTGTCCTGGATGGAATCCTGGAACAGAAAAGAGACATTAGCTAAAAACTGAATAACAGTCCACTGTCTGTAGATTCCGGTATCACTCAACATAACGCAACGTGGATGAATCTCAAAAACATGATGCTCAGTAAAATAAACCAGTCACAGAAGACAAATACCACACGATTCCACTTATATGAGTAAACACACATTATTTATGTAATGAATTGACAGCAGACCTGGACATCGGCTAAGCCACCTGTGCACTCCAGCCCCAGTAGAGGACTCTGCATGTGGCCCCAGCTCTGGCTATGTTTGCTGCAAACACCCAGGCTGCCTCCCTGCCACTCGCCTGGCAAGGGGCCGCTTTCCAAGGGACCCTGATGGGGCCTGGAATCCATTCACTGCCTCTGGCAAGTATGGCATTTCATACCTTAAAGTATTTTTCTATTTGGGCCTCCCTGGTGGCACAGGGGTTAAAGTCTCAGCACTATCAAGCTATCGCCAGCCACTGTGGTGCCAGCCACTGCAGCGCCAGCCACTGTGACATGAGATTGGTTCCCAGCCAGGGAGCTGACCCACATGGCACAGCAGACCTCTCCTGTCTCACCCCCTGCTCCCCTCAGCAGTGTGTTTCAGTGGATCTGCCTGTTCTGCTCCCCACTCTGTCTTTAGTGGGTCCTCTCTCTCCCCACACACCTCTGGCCTACACCCAGTTCTTATATGCATAAATAAATAAAAAAAACTATAAAAATATATTTTTCTACTTTAAAAAGTTATATATTAATATGTGTCCATCGTAGTAAAATTAGAAATTTCATAGAACTCAAAAAAGAAAATAATTCACTTGAGATTCTACTGCTCAGAGAGAATGCCTTTTTACATTTTTGTAGTTTATCCTTCCAGAATTCATTCATGTACACACATTATAAATACAGTTGCGCATCACTTAAGGAAGGGGATCCATTTCCAGAAATGTTTTGTTAGGCAGGTCGCTGTTGTGTGAATATCAGAGTGTAATTCACAAACCTAACTGGTCTAACCTGCGACTTACCAAGGCCACCGTCACGCATGTTGTGTGTCATTAACCACTAAGTCATGGTAGGCTGTGCATGCACATGTGTGACAGGTTATGGATCATTCAATGGATATGGCTTGTGATCACCTTTACCCCTTAACAGCATTTTCTGTGTTAAACAAATCTACACTGTCATTTTAATGACCGTATCCGTATTCCAGTATACCGCTAAACTGTAGTCTACTTCATTCTCTATTGCTGGATATATGTGGTTTCTCTGTGCCTCCTCCACCCCAATTTTTGAATTATTAAGCAAGTATTTGTTGATCCACACCATGATCCAGGGGCTGTTCTGGGATCTGGGAATGCATCAGTGCTTGAACAGCCCTGGCCTCTTAACGCACCTTCTAACGTAAGAAGGGGGTAATAACAGCCTCCTTTACAGGTGGCCACGAAGGGCACCACGTAGCTGGGCACGGTGTAAGTGCTCTGCTGGTGCTGGCTGTCATCATCACTGTGACTGCTACCCTGGGGAGGGAGAGCCCAGATATGGATGAGGGTGGCAGTACCACTGTTTGTGCTGCAGAGGGCGCCAAGCCTGCCCCATACCCTGCCTGCTGAAGTTGGGAATTGCAGCTTACCAATGGGAACGGGGAGGGGGGACTCCTCTCACCCTGACTATGCTCTGTCCCCCCAGGCCTGGACATCCACTTCATCCACGTGAAGCCCCCCCAGCCACCCTCTGGCTGTACCCCAAAACCCTTGCTGATGGTACATGGCTGGCCAGGCTCCTTCTTCGAGTTCTATAAGATAATCCCGTTCCTGACGGACCCCAAGAACCACGGCCTAAGTGAGGATCATGTGTTTGAGGTCATCTGCCCTTCCATTCCCGGCTATGGCTTCTCAGAGGCATCCTCCAAGAAAGGTATGAGGGGTTACTGGGGGCTGTGTTTCCCACCAGGTTCTTCCCAGGATGAGGCAGGAAGTTGCTGGGACCACCTCCTCCAGAACCCGAGGAGCCTGGGAAAGCAGAGACCTGAAACAGAGGGAAGAGAAGTGAGGGGGTTATTTTTATTATGCAAGAGGATCTATATAGGACCCTAGATCTCTAGATCTTGTCAGGATCTAGAGAGTGTGGAGAGCAAAGTCCCAGGTGGAGCAACAGTCATGACTTGCCATTGTTGGCTCAGGAACCTGGACCCTTGTGTCTTCAGGAGCTCCCCACTTGGGCAGGTCCACATCTGGTCAGCCGGGCTGACCAAGGTCTACAGACCCACAGGACCTTAGCAGGGCTGGCCTGAGCCAGCCTCGCAGCCTGGCCATCCACTCGCTATCCCCTTCCAGCAAGGTAGGCACCAAGCATAGCTCCTCTGGGCCGCAGGATTCCTTTCACCTTTATGCGCTGCTCTTACCTCTTTGGGGCGGGGCGGCATGAGAACTTTCATAGGACATGGAGGAATGCCCCAAATGCTCTTCTCTGTTCCCTTCACAACTAGGTTTTGACTCGGTGGCCACTGCCAGAATCTTTTATAAGCTGATGCTGCGTCTGGGCTTCCAGGAATTCTATGTTCAAGGCGGGGACTGGGGGTCCTTGGTCTGCACCAACATGGCCCAGCTGGTGCCCAGGTGAGGGTGCCTTTCCCTGTGTGCACATGTGTGTGTGTGGGGGGGGGATGGGGATCCTATATGGGCAAAGTGTCTGAGGCTTGGCGCACCCTCTTGTCAGGGGTCACCTGGGCAGGATGCTTACAGTACCAGGAGAGGGGCGGGAGGACCCCCTGTAACTTGCATCAGGGACACTTTGACACAATCCTCCTTCCACTCCCTGTCATAGGATTGGTGACTCTGACCTGGGTGCCCAGGCAGAGAGGGCCGGTTGGAAGAGGTAGAGATTAGGGAGCAGATCTTTCTGATGAGCCAAAGCCTGAGAGAGACCTGACTGGAACTTTCCAGAAACTTTGTATTTTCCCCCCAACCACTTCTTCCATCTTAATGTGGCCACACCACAGGGGGAAGGAGACTGGTAGTGCTGCTCAGCCCTGTGGCCTGCTCGTCATCCCTCCGCCATGTCTTCCCTCCCCTTGTTCATCTCTTCCCGCCCCCTGCTTCCTTGACACCAGCCCAGCCTCACCTGGCCTCTCTCTCTGCCCTCAGGCACGTGAAAGGCGTGCACTTGAACATGGCTTTCGTTTCAAGAAATGTCCACCTCCTGTTCCTTCCTTTGACACGGCATTTCCCAGGATTTTTTGGCTATACCCCGAGAGATATGGAGCTGATATCCCCCCTCAAGGAGAAGATTTTCTACAGCATAATGAGGGAAAGTGGGTACATGCATATCCAGTCCACCAAGCCGGACACTGTGGGTAAGCACTGAGGGCAACCCAGCTCGGTTGGCCTTCTCCATGGGGGGTTTCAGGAGGGGGAGGGACACCCATTCCATCCCAGCCAGGGGTAAGCCTCACTGAGACCCAGGAACTATGCTCACAGCGTGGGGACCTCTTATAAGGAACTTGGAGCTCGTCCACCCCTTAAATTACATTTCTCCCTAGAAGTGAGTCCATGCAGTGTCATCAAATAGCCTCCACTTAGCCAGTCCAGTCTCCAGAGTGACTTTGAGTCCTCCATCCCTGAGCCCGAGTCCTACAGGAGGAAGCAGAGGGACAGAGAGGAAGCCTTGGGTTTGGCAGCTCTGTAACTGTGGGGTAGGGTAGAGGTGCTCCAGGGAGACCCCCCACACACAGTGAGGGAGATCCTAACAACCACTTCTGCCACCAGGGGCCTGTTAAAGGAGACTTAAAAAAAATCCAAAAAAAGATAAAATCATACATCTATAAAGTGAATTCTTAGACACACGTCAGAGATTTTATTTAGCTCAATTAATAAAGGAACCAGTAAAATATAAAATCAAAGGCAAGTAGGAACACTAAAATTAATTTTTTAATAGATGGAAAACTTGTCAAGATTCACTGAGTGATAATTAAATCTTCAATGAAGAGTGAATTTTTTTCTTTGTTTCATTGATATAATTGACCTAAGCACTAAGTTAAAGGTGTCCAACTTGATATATTGACTTACATATATTGTGAAATGATGATCACAATAAGTTTAGTTAATAGCCATCATCTCAGGGGCCTCCCCGGTGGCGCAGCGGTTGAGCGCTGGGTTGCGAAGCTACCCGCGGCCTCTGCGGCGCCAGTTCGATCCCCGGCTGCTCCCCGGCCACCGGAGGAGGGTCCCACATGGTGTGCAGACCTCTCCTGCCGCCCGCTGCTCCCCTCAGCAGTGTACTTCGGTCCTTCTGCCTGCTCTGCTCCCCGCTCTGGCTCTGGTGAATTCTCTCTCCCTCCCGCGCTTCTGACTGTACCCAGTGCATGTATAAACAAAACAAACAAACAAACAAACAAATAAATAAGACATGCCTCTAGAAAATTAAAAAAAAAAAAAAGAATTGTTGATTTAAAAAAAAAAAATAGCCATCATCTCACATAGATGGGGGGCAGTTTCCTTGTGACAGGAACTCTTAGGACTTACTCTTTGTTCAAAGTTGATTTACTTCTCTAAAAACAAGAATCTTTTGCACCACTACCAGTTTTCTACAGTTCACAGAGCTACAGACAGCTCTCAGACAAGAGGGCTGAATCTCCCCTTGCTTCTTGCCTGCAGGCTGTGGTCTGAATGACTCTCCTGTGGGACTGGCTGCCTATATTCTAGAGAAGTTTTCCACCTGGACCAACCAGGAGTTCCGCGATCTGGAAGACGGGGGCCTGGAGAGGTGAGCCTGTTCCTCTCCCTGCTGTCAGCCGCCTTTTCTCCACCCTTTTCTCTGCTTGTTTCATCTGTTGGGATGGTCAGTAAGTTCTCTCTATTGTTGGAAGACTCCCAAGTCCTCACCCTGTGACCGGTGCCGCCCCAATTTCAGGATGAGGAAGCTGAGGCACAGAGAAGCATAATGACTTGCTCTGAGCTTCACAGAGGAGCAGTCATAAGTAGGACGCAGTCTCGCTTTGCTAAACAGCCCCCTCCTGGGGCCGAGGAGTCCAGAGGGCAGTCAGTCAGTACCCTTTATTGCAAAGAGGGAGCAACAACCAAGTCCTCTCTCTCCTAAACCTTTGAAGAACCTAGCATCATGGCCTATGACTTTATGCTCTATGGAAGCTGATCCTGAAGGGTGAGTGCAGAAAGTTTGGGGGGCTTGGAGGCTGTAGCCTCTGCTATGCATGACGCCCGGGTCTTTGGCCTGACTCAGGCTTCATCAAGCTCAGCCTCGACCCACCTTCTCCAGGGCCTATCCTTTTCTTTATTCCTTCAGAAACACACGTAACAGCAGATACAGCACTAGGGCGAGGAGTGGAGTGAGATGGGACTGGTGCCCGCCTTGGGGACAGGCACTTTGGCTAGGCTGCTGTAGCCCCAGCATCTAGGACAGCGCCAGACAGATAGTCAGCACCCAGTGAACACTTGTCAGATGAATGAGCACTAAAGACACAGTGCAAAGGATTGTGGGAGTCCAGAGAAAGAAGGATTCACTTTATCTGAGTAGGAAGGGGAAATGACTGGGAAGATCTATTTGATTGGGGCCTTGAAAAATGAGTAGGAGTTGGCAGTGTGGACAAGAGTGGAATTTAGAGTGTATGCACGTGTCTGTGCTTGCATTTGGATATGGGCACATGTGCACACAAGTGTGTATGTGCATGTGTGCAAGTGCTCGTGTGTGCTGAGCTCCTTTTTATCACTGATGTGTTGAGTGGGAGACAGTGGCAGGATGTGCAGGTGGAGACCCCCACTTAGTACCTGAACTCACAGATCTGGAGCTTAGGTGAGAAGGTTGGGGGGGTCTGGTGGAAATGATGTCTTCGTGCTCTCAGTGAAATCAGTAGTTGGAGCCACAGGGGTGAGTCTCCTTAGACATGGCATAGGCAGCAGCCTGCAGGGGTGCTGGGAGAGGCCCCTGTGGGGCAGCAGCATGCAGGGGTGAAGAGGCATGGGAGAGAAGTAGGGGCAGGAGAGGAGGCAGGAGCATGGAGGGGAGAGAGGGCTCACATTTGACACTGAGGCTATGGGCAGTAGAGGGAGGAGGTGACAGGCAGATGGGAGGAGTCAGAGTCCAGGACAAAGATGCACCAACTTTTCTCAGTCAGAAAAACCTAGAATCAAGCAGGGAAGGGCTGTGGGGGGCTGCTGCTCCATGGCCTTGGGCTTCTCAGAGGACAGCTGGGAAGGCAGGAGGTTGTGGGTAGGTGAGGTGGAGAGATGGGTTATAACACATCATTGGCAGTGCTGGAGTCCCCTTGGGTCCGTGGATATTCGCTTGGGTCTGGGGTGGCAGAAGGCCACAGGGTGAGTGCCAAGGAAGTGAGAGGGACAGGATGTGCTGCTAGAAAGTCTAGGGTACAGAGGGGAGCAGCACTAGAGGCTGGTGGGTGGAAGACAGGGTTGGGGAGAGCAGCAGGGCAAAAGCAGAGGCCAGAAGGCATATCCAGTGGACCCCAGCAATGAAGTGGACAGAGGGAGAGGCCATGGTGGACTCCAAGAGGCTGTGGACACTGGGTAGGGTGAGGGAGTCCAGCACTGGACAGGAGCCCATGGGGCAGGCAGGACCAGGAGAATGTGGGACTTCTGCACAGACCATGCGCTCCAAAAAAGAGCGCCTCCTGGCTCATGGGGCCCTTCAACTGAAGTCCACCTGCTCACATTTCCCAGACTGCAGGGGAAGTGCAGAACCCCATGCTGAAAGGGGGTCTCTCCTGGGATGACACAGGTTTGACAGGCTCAACCTGGGCAAGCTGCTGGCTGGTCAATAAAAATTCCCCCGGAGCTCTTGGCCCTGCTCTGCTTCCTCTGGGGCCTGACTGGGCCCGGTCTGGGGGTCTGAAGCCTGCCTGGGGACTGGGTCCTACTTAGGCTGGGCAGGGCTGAGCCCATCTGAGCTGATCCAGGGATGGCCTATATTAAGGACCCAGGATCGGGCACCCACCTGTGAGCAGGGTAGACACCTGGTAGTGACCCTTGGGTTCAGCTGACCTGGCCTGCTCCTTTCCACCTGAGCTGAACATCTAGGGGCACATGGGGAGGGGTGGCTGACACTACCCAGGATGGCAGTGAGAGCCAGCAGAGCCTGCTTCTCCTCAGCAGGATTCTGTTCCTCATTATGAAGCTGGCACCTCAGGCAGAGCCAGCTTGGCCTGAGGAACATACCTCTGAGTATCCCTGAGGTCTGAGGAGGGAACAAGCTGGACCCAGAGACTGGCATACGCTCACAGCTCTTGTCGAGCTGCACCTGGCACTGAGTTGAGGGTGGGCCTTCTGTTTCTGCTTTTCCAGGAAGTTCTCTCTGGATGATCTGCTGACTAACATCATGCTCTACTGGACAACAGGCAGCATTACCTCCTCCCAGCGCTACTACAAGGAGAATATGGGGCAGAACATAATGACACAGAAGCATCAAGTGTAAGCCTGGCTGAGTGGGGTCTCTTGGCAGGGCCTCCATGGCAGGGAGCAAAGGGATTCCTGAGCTTGAGGAAGGGCATCTGATGACCAGAGCAGCACAGCCTGGCCTTGAGGGTGCAGAGGGTGTCTGGGATGAGGATGCCATTTAAAGATTGGGATGTTCAGAGAAATCCTGGTGCCTCTGGAATTAAGTCAGAGGAAACACCAGCCTGGCCCCACGTGCCCCTCAGATCTTCCCCCTCACAAGGGTGCTGGCTGGATGGTTCTGGGGCCTGCCCAGTGCCATTTCCTAATTTCATATGGTGACCAGGTAGCAGTAAAGGGGAAGGGAAGCCAGGTGGGCAGGTAGAGCCTGTCCTGTCCCACTCTCACCCCTGTTCTTCACCTGACAGGACATGCGTACTCTGGTCTTCCTGAGCAGAGGGCCCTTAGTGGGTTGGAATTGAGGGGTGGTTAAAGCCCTAGGTCTGCCCTTTATGTCTCCATGTGGATGGGCAGGCTGACCCTCCCCTGAGTCCCCGCACTCCCTGCTGTAAGGGAGTGAGTGGTCAGGTTATAGCCTCACCCCGCCCCCCATTGGGGTCTCTGTTCTTCCAGGATGAAGGTCTATGTGCCCACCGGCTATTCTGCCTTCCCTTGTGAGCTATTACATAGCCCAGAAAAGTGGGTGAAGGTCAAGTTCCCAAAACTCATCTCCTATTCCTACATGGCCCGTGGGGGCCACTTTGCTGCCTTTGAGGAGCCGGAGCTGCTCGCCAGGGACATCCGCAAGTTCGTGGAGCTGCGGGAGCGGCAGTGATTTGGCGGGGACTGTTGTCTCAGAGTCAGCCAGGCCCCTGCGTGGCAGACCCCCTCGCTGGCCCCTGCCCTTTTACCTGCAGGCCCCACTTCCCAGTGCCCTCAGTGTGAGAGGAGGGCTGGCAGGGGGCAGCCTTCCAGTCTTCTCTCGGTGAAGATGCCCCTTTTCTAAGAAACAAGTTTGCATTCATCCCTGACCCATGTGGGAACCTCATGCTTGCCCTCTCCATGCACCCCTGCTCCCCACCACATACACACAGGTGTTAAACAACATGGCTTTGATGATAAATGACTTTACTTGTAAGAGCGGCTGGAGCTGGTGACTTGCGCGTGACCAACCCCACACGGGGTTCCCCTTTCAGCAGCGCTGGCAGGTCTGCATCTGGGGAGAGGGTCCCAGTTGACCCTCACTGAGAAAGGCAGAACAAGCCCATCAGGGGTACCAGGATGCCCCTCTACCCATCCCAGTGCCTAGTGGGGGATGAGGGTTGAGGGTGGGTAGCTCATAACCAAGTCCTTGATACTAAGTAACTGCTGGGGGCACCGGCTGCAGAGCAGGCCCAAGACTATGCTGCCCTGTGGGACTAAGGTGGCTCTGCTCACTCTCCCTCATCTCCCCTCTCCTCCCCCTAGTGCCCTTGGGGCCCCTGGAGGCGGTGATGAGAGCCCAAAGTTGCATCCTAGCCCCAGGATCTCACAGGGAGAGAAAAGGGGAGAGAGTGGCCAGTCCTCCCAGCAGGGCCACAGCTCCGTGGCCACGCATAGCCCTGCAGCAGGCCCAGACACACCTCTCCTGTGCCCCGCCACACTTCTCCCCAAGCACCGCCACCTCTCCTCCTGGAGGAAGCAGACAGGGGACTACAGCTGGAGACTGAGCCCCCTAAACTGCCCTGAAGAGGTGGGGGAGGCAGGACTGAATGGGCACTTCCTAGTGGTCCTCGCTGTCCCTGCCTGCTGCAGGGTCACCGTGACCCAGACACTGGCTGGCCACACAGAACCATAATGGGACAGTTGGGGTGTGTGCACTCGCCAGGCCTACCTACTCCCGTAGCTCCCTCCTGTGCCGGGGTTGGGGTGAGTGGCATCTTGCACAGAGGGGAAGCTGGAATAAGCCTGGGCTGTCGTGGTCTGCTGCGGGCTCTGGTTGTGTGTGGCAGGTGGTGGCCAGAGGGACAAGGTCTTCCACGCATTACACTCTCCTGTTAACCTGAGCCAGTCACCACAGCTCGTAAGTCTGGAGGTTGACAATTCCAACACCTGACCCAGCTACAGGGCGGGAAGCTTGTGCAGAAGGGAACTGGAAAGGAGCAGGACCTCAGCCCAAGCAAGTAAGAGTACAGAGCCTCGAGCTGCCCTCCCCTACTCTCTCCCTGACCGGAACAGACACCACCCGGAGGCACTCCCTCCCGCCCCCTCAGCCAGCAGCAGCGACCCTCCTCCCGGTTCCACCTTTCCAGAGCACTTAAAGCTGGCAGACAGTCCTGTACTCGGTCGGGGTGAAAGTCAAGTCGCTTCTTCACCCATGACTCTGCACCTCTGGTGCAGCCCACAGCTCGCCACCTTCAGGCCTCCTGGTAGGCAGCTGCCACACTGTCTGCAGGGCTCTGGGCCAGGTGCTGCCCTGAGAGGGTCCCGCTGATGTTGTGGATGGCACCGTAGGTCTGCTGCTGCTGGGGGGACAGGGCTGTTTTCTCTGAGGCCAAGCCGTTCAGAATCCGGGGCACGTAGGGCTGCAGGCAAATAGGGGCATGAGTGCTTAGGTGGGGTGGGCGTGAGATTCCAGACCCCATTTCTCCCCACTGCCCCTCGCGCCGCCCTGCAGGAGGACATAAACAACGCTTTTAAAGGACACATAAAGAAAAACAGCATCGACTTAGGACAGCAGGACTCTAAATCTGCCAGCTGCAGACCGTCCTAGCAGCCAGAGCTACCAGGAAGATACAGAAGACACAACCAGTCATGTAATTCTCAGGATCGTAGAGGAAGCATGCCTATTTCTCAGAGGAAACAAAGCTTCCTGGTGCAGGGAAGTTCTCACTCTCTTTAAGAAACCAATCTGTCTGCACAGAACAGGCTTAGGATGCTATTGTGGAGTTCTGGAAAGCTGAAGGAATCTGTCCATCCCAGGCTTCAGCTGCCAACTCCAGGAGGAGCCCTGTTCTCTTCATCAGACCCAGGCAGAGAAAGAGGGTTTCTATCACCCACGGGCCCTGCCTCTTCCCTGGTCTGCAGGCACACCCATAGGTGTCTGGATAATGAATCTGAGAACCTTCTCCTGGCAGCTGGTTAACGACAGATACTGACAGTGCTTGACACCTGGGAGGCAGCCACTGACAGACACTGCTACTGAGGACCCCTCCCTCCCTCCCTCCCTCCCAAGGAAGGCTAGTGGTCACAGCTGTGAGACTCAGTGGCTCCATGATCCTTTCACAGCCCCAGCCTAGGAGCAGGACCCTGGAGGCCAGAGGTAGGGAGATGCAGGGAGGACGTGAGACCCGGAACTCTGCTTCAAAGCAGGGGCAAGTTCATTTGATGAATTCAAAGGGGAGGGAGTTTGACACCCTGTTGGTGCCTAGCAGGGGACCGCACACAGGCAGGTACTGAGGAAACACGACAAAGCTTCCTCAAACCACAGGGCCTGGTGAAATCCTTCAGTAGAGGCACAAACTCACCAAACATTAAATATGCAAAGAAGGAAAGTGAGCAGGGAACTGAAACCATGGGGGGTGGGGACATCCCCCACATTGTGATAACATGCCCAGAGGGACTGGGGCTTCCTTCTCCAATGACATTAGTTCAGAAACTTGCCTGCCACCTGCTCAAGGGAACTCTCTCTCAACAAGAGATGCTCAAAGTCTAAGTTTTGCTAGGCCCATCTGCGGGGGGCTGTCGAGAGCGCTCGGTGCTGAGGTAACCATAACTTACTGTGAACGGTGCAGGCGGGGGGGCCTCTGCCTCGCTTCCTTTGTCACTTGACAATTCTTCTGTCTGCAGATAACAGCAAAAATAAATGATAAACAAAACCGATCTTCCTGAACTAACACCCTCCAAACAAACAGACTATCAACATGCAGAAAAACAGTACCAGCTGGCACTGGGCTCCCAGCCACAGCCCCAGAGAGGATGGGGGCAGTGCAGGGAGCAGGGCAGGGTGGGGGAGGGGAGTACATGCTGCACTCCACTGCCCACGTCTTCCCCATGGGTAAATATAATCTGGAGAAGGCGGTGGGTGTGCTGAGAATGTGAAGACGGGGAGGAGGGGTGAAGAGTGAGCCCTCCTCTTCCGGGGTCCTGGCTGGGCAGCATGAGGGAAGGTAAAGGGTCCTTTACCTTATAGTTCAGAGGGCTGAGATGTTTGAAGCACCCAAAGCACGTATAGCCAAGGCAGACCAGGATGGTGAACAGCACCACCAGGAAGGTGAACAAGGTAAGAGGGGCCTTCAGACCTGGGGACAGGGAACGTCAGCCTGGGAAGGGTGCCACACCTGGCGCAGGAAGCGTGTGTGACATCTCTCTCAGGCAGAGAAAGAAGACAAGGCATGAGGCGGCATCCCCACCCCAGCATCGGGTAAGGTGTCTTCTGTGCTTCATAGGAGCACAGAAGAATGCCAGGGAACAGCTGGCACTCCCTAGTCAGACTGCTGTTAAAGGCTCAGCAAGTCAATGTCAATTTGCCAGCTTCCTTGCTTGGTCAGTCCCTCCAGTATTCACTGTCCTGGGTCTGGTGAAATGGAGCACCCCTATACCATGCCCCCCCGACCACCGCCACCCAGCTAAGACAGTGTCACACATTTCTTCTGCCTTTTTCTTCTTCTAAAGAGTGTCAATTTTCTCTCCTGCATGTTCCCACTTCCTCCACACTGTGAGGTGTGAGGGCCTGGACCCATCACCACCCCAAAGAACAACCTAGACCAGCTCCCCATCTCCAGTGGTTCAGCCCCTCCAGAGCCGACAAAGGGACCGTCATCTCTCTAAGGCTGTCTGGGGCAACTGACCTGGTCTTTCCCAGATTACACTTATGCTCTGGCTAGCTTAGGGGCTGGGTTGTCAACACTGCACCCAACCGACCCTCAGCCTGGGTACCACCTTCTGTTTGGATATCAAGTTGATGCTATTAAAACAGTGAGGGATTTGACCGGCTGCCTCCACACACACCCAGCTCCCTCTGCCAGGTTTAAGGGGCCCTCACCCAGGCGCACGAAGGAGAAGAAGTAGAGCCAAAAGAGGCACAGGATGGGAGCAGCCAATGCCTGGTTCACAGCTGCAAAGTGGATCCGCTTCTCCAGCTTGGCTGGGAGGTAGACAAAGTAGAGGTTGTGCCGGTCCACCATGTGTTTGAGCAGGATGTAGATGAGGCCTGTTGAGGCAAGGCTGTGAGCTAGGGACCTCTGCCCCTTTCCCTCTGAGGGTAACTGTTTGCTCATGGTATTCCTGGGGTGCTTGGCAGAATCAAGCTTCCACTTACCCTGGGGCCAGCATGAGGGCTACTCACCAAATGGTGCAATGATGGGGCAGGTGATGCTGAAGGCCATGATGACGGTGAAGACACACAGCATCCATGCGTACATGGCTCCAAACTCATATTCAAAGGCCTGGTTCTGAGAGGAGGTAATGGGGAGCTCACAGGCTTATTTCACCCCAAGCCCTCCTCCAAACACTCTGGGTGGGGAGGGGAGAGCAGGGTAGAGAAGCACTTTGGAAATGGGAGACTCACGGCCACTCTCACTCTTTGAGGCCCTCTGCCCTCCTCAGCCTGCTCCATTTCCCTCAGCTCATGCTCAGACCTCCCAAGGAACAGTGACTCATGTTTTGCTAGTTTTCTCCAGTTTGAATCCTGTCTACCCAACAGGATTGTGAGCCCCTGGGGGGCAGAGAAGGTGCATCTGAAGGTAGACTGCGGAGTGATTCCCCACAGATGTTGGCATCAAGTGCAGCATCAGCCCTGAATCTTCCAGCCACATCTCCTGAGCTAAGTGCTTAACCTCCCTATGGCCCAGTCTGTGATTTATAAAGTAGGGGGACCTGTAATGCCAATCTCATAGGAGGTTCTGTGCCCCTCCAACTTTCCCCAGTGGCAAAAGAGAATAAAAAAACCAACTGCACACCACCTGCTCACAAAATCTTGGAGTGAATGCCACAAGTCCAAAATGTTATGACATCTGTGCTAATTAAGAATTTATGTAAATGGGGTCTCCCTGGTGGCACAAGAGTTAAAGTCTCAGCGCTATCAAGCTATCACCAGCCACTGCGGCATGAGTTCAATCCCCAGCCAGGGAGCTACCCATATGGTGCAGCAGACCTCTCCGGTCTCACCACCGCTCCCCTCAGCAGTGTATTTCAGTAGATCTGCTTGTTCTGCTCCCCACTCTGTCTCCAGTGAATCATCTCACCCCCACATCTCTGGCCTACACGCCAGTTCTGTATGCATAAATAAATAAATCTTTTAAAAAAAAATCTATGCAAATAGATGCCCATGGAAAAGGAATGTGTTTAGTTGTGTGTGTGTGTGTGTGTGTGTGTGTGGATAAAATGTAAAAGTCTGAACTCTCCCTGCAATCTGTGAGCTAGAGTGGGGGATTATGAAGGCACACCCCATTCTCACACAGTTCCCCAAAGCAGCAGCCTGTGCCTGTGTGGAGAATGCTTGGCACAATGCCTGGTGCTCACACGCAGGAGGGCAAATGGCTGTGATAGGGAAGCTCCAGGGGGAGTCGGAGGCCACCTGCCCCTCCAGCCTGTACCTGCTTGACATTCCTGCGGTCAGCTGCTGTCTTGGCCATGATCATGCGGAAGGTGTAGAGGATGAGGCCTGGCAGCCGAAGCATCTCCATGCCATTGCCTATGAAGGCCGAGGCGATGATGTAGTTCACAAAGAAAGCACCCTGGTCAGGCAGGAAGACACACCTGGGGAACCAGGCCAGGTATGTGAGCTGAGAGCCTGGAGAGCCTCCATTCTTCCCCCCAGAGGGAGAGAGGGCGCTTGGATCCCTCCATTCAGTACACACATGTGCAGCACGCATCTGTACCATGCACTGTTCTAGGCACCGAGAATGAAGCTAACCCCCTGTCGCTGCTCTTATGAAGGTGACATCCTTATTGGGGGGACACAAAGAAATATACTGTATACTGGGATGCTAAGAGGAAAACAAAGCATCTGGGGTGAGGTTTACTATGTTGCGTAGGGTGGTCAGAGAAGCCTTTCAAATTCGATGATATTTGTGCAGATGTGGAAGAGTAAAGAGTCTCTGAGAAGCCTGCAAGGAGAGCATTCTAAGCAGAGATGACACATAATAGCCCCCAAATGTTCATGCATGGCATGGCAGCAGATTGAGGGGTGGGGAACAGAAGAGAAGACCAGGGAGTAGGGCAGCATATAGCCAGAAGGGGTGGGGGGCTGGGTTTGACTGTGGTGAGGGTGCCAGGGACAGGGGGTCACACAGGTGGGTACTGTGTGCTCCATGTGCAACGAGGGCAAACATGGTAGAGTGGTGAGCATGGTCAGATCCTGGATCTGTCTATGGTAGAGAGAGAGCTGCCTGGGTTTACTGAAGGACTGGGTGTGGGATATGAGGGTAAGAGTGGAAACAAGAAGAACCCCAAGATTTTTTGCCAGAGCAACCAGAGAAAGAGAGTCATGGTAGGGGACATTTCAGGGAGTAGTAGATTTGTAGATGAAAGTCTGGGAGTCTGGTTTCAGGCAGGTAAAGTCTGAGATGCCCACAGAACTCCAGGAGGGCCTTCGGCAGGCAGTAGGATATTGGGAGGCAGGGGCTGGAGTTAAAAGTATAGACATCGTCAGTGTTTCCACTCATACTTAAGCACTATAGACACTGGGTCCAGCTGAGGTCACCGAGACAGGAGTATGGGTAGAGGATGGGGCCTGAGTCCTCGGGCAGCTGATGTCTGGAGCTTGGTGATGCAGAACACCCCAACAAAGCTGAGGGGGAGTGGGGGAGGGGGAGAATTACAGGGAGATGGGGTCCTCAGGACTCAGTGAAGAGTGTTTCAAGGAGGAAGGTGAGATGAGTGTGTGAGATGTTGCTGACAGATGGCCTAGGATGAGGACTGACGGCTCACACTGGATCTGGCAATCTGGAAGTCACTGTCAACCTAGACAAGGGCAGCGTGGTCATGTGTGTCTGTGACTGCCAGCTCCTGAGTCTGCAGCTTACCCAGCAAGAACTCATTTAAAATAATTCACTCTCTGCTTCCAGGTAAGCACTGCCAGACCTTGCTGTGCGTTTGGAAAAGCCCTGAACCTCAGGATCTATGTTAGGACCTAATGTGTCGCACAGCAGGGGCTAAGGTTAAACCCCAGCAATGTCAGGACTAGCTGAATACGGGGCAAGTTTTTCACTGTACCATGGTAGTATGTTGTAAAGGTGAAATGAGAAAAAAAAAAAAAACATTAAGCATTTAGCATTTAGCATGTGCCTTCCTAAATAATAGGTATTATTGAAATCTTGCTATTTGGGACAACATGAATAGAAACTTGAGGGGATTATGCTAAGTGGAAATAAGTCAGAAGGAGAAAGACAAATACAGGATGATTTTACTCACATGTGGAATACAGAGAAACAAAGGGACAGATAAAACCAAACCAAAACAGAAATCTGACTGCAGAATTGAGGCTACTATAGGGGATGGGACGGGTGGGGAGTATGGTGGGGGCAGGGGGAATGCTAACAGAGTTTGTGGGAAATTCTGGGTGCTTTGGTGGTGGGTATGTTGTGGTAACAAACATCTGAAGAGGTGTGACCCTAACTATAGCCCTAAATCATACACAGTGTTGTAAACCAACACTATCTCAATAAAAAACAATACAATTTAAAAATATATATGTGTATTACTATTAAGTGGGTGTGGTACTAACTTGACATACAACAAGGTCACACATCAGCAATAAATGTAACTCCAAGTCAAAGGATGGAAAACAATCCTACAAGCAAATGGGCCAAAAAAGAAAGCAGGAACAGCTATACTTATATCAGATAAAACAGACTTCAAACTCAAAAAAATAAAAAGAGACCCCAATGGTCACTACATTATGATTAAGGGGACAATACTTCAAGAAGAAATAACACTCATTAACATATACTCACCAAACGAAAGAGCACCAAAATATATCAGACAACTGTTGTCCTCTCTGAAAACAGACATCAGAGAAAACACATACGTAGTGGGAGACTTCATCACACCACTATCAACAATGGATAGATCAACAAGACAAAAAATAAGTAAAGAAACTAAAGCTCTAAATAAGGACCTAGAGCATTTGGGCTTAACAGACATCTATAGAACACTAAACCCAAAAAAAACGGAGTACACATTTTTCTCAAGCGCACACGGATCATTCTCCAGGATCGATCACATACTGGGGCACAAGACAAACATCAACAGATACACCAAGACTGAAATCATACCAACCATCTTTTCTGACCACGAAGGCATCAAACTAGAAATAAATCATAAAAAGAAGGCAAGGAACTATCCTACCTCATGGAGATTAAAAGCCACACTACTGGAAGACCACTGGACTAACGAGGAGATCAAAGAAGAAATTAAAAAATTCTTTGAATTGAATGACAAGGAGGACACCAATATCCTAAATGTATGGGATGCAGCAAAAGCAGTAATAAGAGGAAAATATATAGCAATAGAAGCTCACATCAAAAAACAAGAAAGAACTCAAAGAAACAACCTAATCTCGAAGCTCAAAGATCTAGAAAAAGAACAACAAAAAAACCCCAAATCCAGTAGAAGAAAAGAAATAATAAAACCAAAGCAGAAATAAATGAAATTGAAACTAAAAAAACAATCCAAAAGATCAATGAAACCAAGAGCTGGTTCTTTGAAAAAATAAATAAAATAGACAGCCCCTAGCCAGGCTCACAAAGGAAAAAAGGGAGAAAGCACAAATACACAGGATCATAAATGAAAGAGGAGAAATCACAACGGACACAGCAGAAATCAAAAGAATAATCAGTAACTACTATGAACAGTTATATGGAAACAAGTTCAACAATCTAGAGGAGATGGACAAATTCCTACAACTCTACAATCACCCAAAGCTAGATAAAGAAGAAATAGAGCACCTAAACAGACCAATTACAAGCAGCGAAATTGAAATGGTAATCAAAAACCTCCCCAAAAACAAAAGCCCAGGACCTGATGGATTTACAAATGAATTCTACCAAACATTCAGAGACGAATTAGTGCCTATCCTTCACAAACTCTTCCAAAAAATTGAGAAGGAAGGGACAATACCAAACACGTTCTATGAAGCCAATATTACACTAATACCAAAACCGAATAAGGACAACACAAAAAAGGAAAACTATAGGCCAATCTCCCTAATGAACACTGATGCAAAAATCCTCAATAAAATTTTAGCTATCAGAATCCAACAATGTATCCATAAGATAATTCACCACGACCAAGTTGGATTCATTCCAGGGGCACAAGGATGGTTTAACATCCGAAAATCAATCAACGTTATCCAACACATCAACAAAAAGAAATATAAAAACCATATGATAATATCAATAGATGCTGAGAAAGCTTTCGACAAAGTGCAACACCCATTCATGATAAAAGCCCTTGAAATTCTTGGGATACAAGGAACATACCTCAACATCATAAAGGCCATCTATGACAAGCCAACAGCCAGTATCATTCTCAATGGTGAAAAGCTGAAAGCAATTCCATTAAGATCTGGAACAAGACAAGGATGTCCACTCTCACCACTGCTTTTCAATATAATACTGGAAGTCCTAGCCAGAGCAATAAGACAAGAGAAAGACATCCAAGGAATCCAAATAGGAAAAGACGAAGTCAAACTATCACTATTTGCAGATGATATGATAATATACATAGAGAACCCCAAAATCTCCACAGAAAAACTAATTCAACTCATCGGTCAGATCAGTAAAGTGGCAGGATACAAAATCAACATGCAAAAGTCAGTAGCCTTCCTATACACAAACAATAAATCTGAAGAAGAAGAAATCAAAAAAACCACCCCTTTTATTATTGAAACAAAAAAAATCAAATATTTGGGAATAAATCTAACAAAAGAGGTAAAGGACCTATACAAAGAAAACTATAAAACACTGTTAAAAGAAATAGAAGAAGACACAAAGAAATGGAAAGACATCCCCTGCTCATGGATTGGAAGAATAAACATTATTAAAATGGCCATCCTTCCAAAAGCAATATACAGATTCAATGCTATTCCAATCAAAATTTCAATGTCATTCTTCAAAGAAATAGAACAATTATTGATGAAATTCATATGGAATCACAAAAAACCCCGAATAGCCAAAGCTCTCCTGAAAAAAAAAGAAGGGAATGGAGGCATCACACTCCCAGACTTCAAACTCTACTACAAAGCCATAATCATCAAAACTGCATGGTATTGGAACAAGAACAGACATACAGACCAACGGAATCGAATAGAAAATCCAGAAATAAACCCACAGATTTATGGTCAACTAATCTTTGACAAAGGAGCAAAGACTATGCATTGGAGCAAAGAAAGTTTGTTCAATAAATGGTGCTGGGAAAACTGGGTCGCTACATGCAAAAGAATGAAGCTTGACCACTACCTCACACCATACACAAAAATCAACTCAAAATGGATTAAAGAACTAGACATAAGACCTGAAACCATAAAATACATAGAAGGAAATATAGGCGAAACACTACGGGATTTGCACATCAAAGACATCTTTACAGACACATCACCCAAAGCAGTGATAGTGAAGGCAAAGATAAACAGCTGGGACTACATCAAATTAAAGAGCTTCTGCACAGCAAAAGAGACAATAACAAAAACAAAGAGAAACCCCACCAACTGGGAGAACATTTTTGCACCCAACACTAATGATAAAGGACTGATCACAAAAATCTGCAAAGAGCTGATGAGACTCAGCAACAACAAAGAAAATAATCCAGTCAAAAAATGGGCAGAAGAGCTAAAAAGAAACTTCTCTGAAGAGGAAATGCAAATGGCCAACAGACATATGAAAAAATGTTCAACATCACTTGCAATCAGGGAAATGCAAATCAAAACTACCATGAGATACCATCTCACACCAGTGAGAATGGCACATATTAAAAAAACTAGCAACAACAAATGTTGGCGAGGGTGTGGAGAAAAAGGAACTCTTCTGCACTGTTGGTGGGAGTGCAAACTGGTCCAACCACTATGGAGAGCTGTGTGGAGATTTCTGGACCTACTAAACATAGAGCTTCCATATGATCCAGCAATTCCACTCCTAGGTATTTACCCAAAGGACACAGAAACATCAATTCCAAAGAGCACCTGCACCCCTATGTTTATAGCAGCACTGTTTACAATAGCTAAGCTTTGGAAACAACCCAAATGCCCAAAAGTAGATGACTGGATCAAGAAGATGTGGTACATATATACCATGGAATATTACTCAGCATTCAAAAAAGATAAACACATGCAATTTGCAGCAACATGGATGGCGCTGGAAGGGATCATGCTCAGCGAAATAAGCCAAAAAGAAAAAGAAAAATACCGGATGGTCTCACTCATAGCAGGAATCTAGAAAACTTAAATAAGGGACCAGGAAAATGAATATAAGAAAGTGAAAATCAAAATCAACAAAAAACTATGAACCAGAGACACTTTTTGGGGGGGGGGGGGGAGGGGAAGGATTGGGGTCAGAATGGGGCGTTTGCAATTGTATGGGGGAATATAAAAATAAAATTTAAGATTAAAAAAAAAAAAATGTAACTCCATTCTCCTGGCAAAAATGATCCCCAGACCAGACAGTTGTTTCTGGTTGCAATGTTTAAACAGTATTTTCCTGCCCTCCCCTGCCCCAGGCACCATTGAGACCAGCAGCTCCTTCTTCCCAGGAGGCTCTTTCTCAGTAAGTAGGTTTCAAAGAATGAGTGAGGCTGTCATTAATTGAGTTTGGCCTAAAAGATTAACCACATTTCTGCACTCAGAGCACAAAGTGGGTCACCTCCCACGGTACACCGGGCCCAGCCCAGCCCAGCCCAGTCCAGCCAGGAACTTGGCAGGGGTGATGGCGATACCCCAGGCCCCAAGGTCTCCAGCAGGAAGGCATCTTCTCTGAAGCACCAGCTACCTCCCCCCAATGCAGCCCCAGCCGGACCACTGTGGGACATTCACCAAGGCATGGTCCCAAACGCAATATGGACTCCAAAAATTAAAATAAAAATTAAAAAAAAAACTTTTATATGGCTGATACTTACTCCAACCTAATAGAGGCCTCCTCCGAGAAAGTTTTGTCAAAGAGCCACCGGAAAAAAAAATCCAAACTGAAAAACAAATGAATCCCATAAGAATTTATTTCCAACATATCACATGATCACTACATGTTTTCAATTTTTCTTTGCTCTATAAACAGGCCAAATTTCAAGATTTACTCTCTAAGATGTCACTTACTACAATGTAATTTATCAAGACCTGCAATTACAGAAATGTCCCTTCCTTGAGATGAACAAAGCCAGAATTAGACTCTCCTTCTAAGTGGAAGGTTGTGATAAATTTTGATTAAAAACTTTAAAAAAATAATCTTTTTTAATTTTTAAGAAAAAAGTCCTCCAAGAGCATCAATGCACCAGCACAGTCGCCTCTAAGTGGGCTCACAGGCTGAAAGGCTGTTAAGGATGTGCATCTACTCCCAAACCATTTCCATTCTTCTGTGGACAGTGTTCTCCAGATATGACCTTGATTCTGAATTTAGAGCAGGAGGTGGTGATTACCTGGTGAGGCCAAGGGAGGGCAGAATGAGCACCATGAAGATCAAGAATATGTAGACCTTGGTCATCATGATCCGGTTTTCCCCTGACCTGCGGGAAGTCAGAGGTGAGCACCACAGTCCCCCAACTGCTCCAGGTGCCTCTAGTCAGTCCCCATTGACCAGGGGTGGGGGGTGGGGGTGTCAGACACACTTTCAGGAGAGGGAACTACAACTCCCGGCACTCACTTGGTCCAGTGGGACTCCAGCAACGTAGAGTAATAGACGATGGTGGGGAGCAGGGCCGAGAAGGACCAGAGGAGAAGAGTGGGGAAGAACTGGCTGATGATTGGGTTCTAGGAAACAAAAGACACAGTAGGCAAGAGGCTGGGGGCCACAGGCTCTGAGATCATGACTGTTGGGGGCTCAGGTATCCTTGACTCTCAGAACTAACGTTGCACCTGGTACAAGGTAGGTATTCCATAATGTTGGCTTAATAGACAATTATAGCACCTTATACAGTTGACTAGAACAACAGTTTGAACTGTATGAGTCCACTTATATGCAAATTTTTTTTTCATTAAATACAGTTGGTCTCCATATACATGGGTTCTGCATCATGGACTCAACTCAACTTTGGATGTTGGTTGGCCGATGCCATGCACGCAGAGCCAGGAATAAGGGGGCTGGCTGTAGGGCTTAGTCATCCAAGAATTCAGTGGGGAGTGGGGGAGGTTCTAAAGTCAATCTCCCAAGGATATCAAGGTATGACTGTGACTATAGTTAAGCTGTGGGGGGATCAAAAGGTATACACAGATTTTCAACCATGTAGGAGGTGAGACAGGGGGAGTATCTCTAACCTTTGAGTTGTTTAAGAGTAAACTGTACCTGTACAGCTCTTTAGAGCAAAGAAAGCAATTTCACATATAGCAGTACTCCACTTGTCTTACTGACCAGATAATAACTTCTCAGTTCCCTACAGAAAACCAATCACTGATACCAAGGGAAGATTGAATGCTGAGGCCAGGGCCCCTCCCCAGGTGGCCTGCCCACCCAGCCTTAGCGGTACTAGGACTGTGTGGTGCTTCTGCTCAAACCCAGCTATACCAGTTGTACTTACTGTGATTACATGATTTGATTAAATTATTCCTTTCTCTGATTAAATGGGCATATAAAAAGAAACATTCTTTGAAAACTATTTGGATACTTCAAAAGATTTGACAAAAGCTAATTACTAAAACATTCTTGAATTAGAAAGAGTAAACTGACTGAAAAAGCAGAGGGAAATGATATCTAGAATGACTTTGGAAGTATCTTTAAATTCTAGAACAGGGGCCTCCCTGATAGCACAGGAGGTTAAGTTGCAGAACTATGAAGCTATTCGCAGCCACTTAAGCACAAATTTGATCCCTGGCCAGGGAGCTACCCACATGGCGCAGCAGACTTCTTCTGACTCACCCACTGCTCCTCTCAGCAGTGTATTTCAGTAGATCTGCCTGTTCTGCTCCCCACTCTGCCTCTGGTGAATCCTCTCACCCCCCACACCTCTGGCCTGTACCCCAGTTCTTGTATGCATAAATAAATAAATTCCAGAACTGGAATCACAGACAATGAAGGGTGTGATTTATATAAAATAGAAAAAGGGAAGCTCTATAATCAGCAGACCCATCCTTAAAAGAACAGACCTGGATCATGTATCAAAAGATTGGCAAAGCAATGAATATTTACATGCTTAAAATTCAAACAGAACTGCTCAATGCAGTTTTGTGTATTTTTATTATTTATCAAGTCAGAAGAGACCTTCACTGCACATCAGATCATCTGACCATTATTCCAGCAGTCCCACAGGCATGTAATGTGGCACGTAGTTGCCCAGCTAGAGGATGAAAAATCAAGGCTCAGAATTCACCTGCTTGGGAATGGCAAAGGGAGAACCTCTGGTCCAGCATGCTTCCCCAGGACTGACCGATAGCCAAGGTGGAATAGGAAAAAAAGAGCTATAGGGTGATAATTCCACAAAGCCAATTATGGGAAACCAACTTCTTTGTAGGTAGATGCCAATTTAGGGAGCACTTAGCTATTATAAATCCCTTGAAGTTGTTTTATTTTCCTTGAAAAATTTCAAGTCATTCATTACCTATCTAAAGCAAATGACCTTATTACAAGATTATCAGAAAGGGCTTCCCTGGTGGCGCAAGGGGTTAAGGAATCCGCAGCCTCTGCAGCAAGAGTTCAATCCCCGGCCAGCCAGGGAGCAACCCACATGGTGCAGCAGCCCTCTCCTGTTGCTGCTCCCCTCAGCAGTGTATTTCATTCAGTCTACCTGTTCTGTTCCCCACTATGTCTCTGGTGGGTCCTCTCGCCCCCCACATCTCTGGCCTGTACCCCAGCTCTTGTATGCATAAATAAATAAATCTTTTTAAAAAAAAGATTATCAGAAACATAAAAGAAGTAACTCATTCCTGATCCTGCCACCCCATTCCACAAAGCTCTTTTCATTTCTTCCTGTCTACTCCCTGTATCTTTCATCCAACACATGCATCGCTGGCACAGACCTATAGCCACTGCTTAGAAACAGGAAATAAACAGCTTTATTTCCTGCTTTTATTATAAACCCCTCCATCTGCCACAAAGATAATGTAATTTTTTTTTTTTTTTTTTTTTTTTTTTTTTTTATAGAGGCATGCTTTATTTATTTGTTTGCTGGTTTGTTTGTTTGTTTTGTTTATACATGCACTGGGTACAGTCAGAAGCGCGGGAGGGCGAGAGAATTCACCAGAGCCAGAGCGGGGAGCAGAGCAGGCAGAAGGACCGAAGCACACTGCTGAGGGGAGCAGCGGGCGGCAGGAGAGGTCTGCGCGCCATGTGGGACCCTCCTCTGGTGGCCGGGGAGCAGCCGGGGATCGAACCGGCGCCGCAGAGGCCGCGCGCAGCTTCGCAACCCAGCGCTCAACCGCTGCGCCACCGGGGAGGCCCGATAATGTAATTTTTTAAAGGATGCTTAACATTTGGTCAGACTGAATATACCTCATTCAACTCAAATGACTGCTCCTGAACATTTAGACTGATTCCAAAAGCAATATATGTCTACAAAACATATGTACTTATGTATGTGTATGTATCACCCACTTTTCAAAGTTTTCAAAGTTTGCATGATACCACTTCACTTTTATGAAAGATCTATACTATTTTGTAATTTTACTAAAAGAAATCTGAAGAAGTTTCATTTTTAATAACCAAGGTTTCATTTTTATGTCACAAAGCAAAAATAACATTCAATTTTGCAGTAGCCGGTCTAGAGGTAGCACATGCTGCAAACAGCAAGAGTAGCACCACCCAGCTGCCTCCCCCAGAACTACCTCACTCACATTTATCACATCATGTCTGCTTTTGCTGTGTGTCATTTTAGCTTTCATATGTTATTTGGTATGTTTTAGGAACTGGAAATTCCAAAAAAAAATTCCATATAAATTAATGGTAATTGCTTCTTTGGCTTATGAAAATTTTTGTGTTCTCTTCTACTCTCAGATAGCGAGGGAAACCTGCATGATATCACTACAAAGATATTGTAATAAATACAAATATGCCCGCACACTAGGAAAGACATGAATAGAACAACATGGACTCCTGGCTCAATGCTCCCCATATTCCTTATCCCCATTCCTTCCCCACCCACCATACCCTCTCATTGGCAGCCCTCCTGAAACAGGCCGTGCAGAATGGTGACTCACATTCAGCGCATGGATGGGTTTGGTGACATTGAATTTGTCCATGGTGGACAGGATGATGGAGGGTGTAGTCAGGAAAAAGAGCACCACGAAGAGAGTAAAATTGATGCCCAACCACTGGAACCACCAGCGTAAGCCCTGGACAGAGAGGTTCTTCCTGCAGAGGGAAGGACACAGAGGGGAGAGGCTCATCTCCCAGGTTCAGCTGCCTAAACACCAATGGTGCCTCAGTTCAGGCATATCTGAAGGCCAAGAGATAAGCCTGCCATCTCTAGCTGAGGTCTCATTTCTACCTCAGGAGTACAGGCAAGTTCTGTGCACTGACCTTCAGTGATAGGAAGATCAAATTTTGGGTCCCTGTGAGTTCTGAGGGAAAACAGATTATTCACTGATAACACGCCACCCCACCTTGAGTGAGGTGCCATGAGCACCTAAGCTAATCAAACAAGTGCTGACATGGCATTTCCCAGGCATGTCTACAAAGCTTGATGACTATTCTTTCAAGTGGGGTGCTGGCTGGAGTGCAAGGTAGAGGGAACAGGGGCCATAGACACACAGGGCCAAATGGAACTGCCTTGGCCTCCCATTCTCACCAAGAACAGACATACAAACCATTGCCAAGTACAGAAAGGTCTATGAACCCAAGAGCAGAACTGTCAGCGGCTGCCCAGTGGAAACAAGCTCTCTAAGTTTGCTCTGGGCAAGAGCTAGCCAGGCTGCCAGCGGTGCCCACATCTCTGCAGGGCTGCCTTCCCCGCCTCCGCCTCCCCAACCCCAGCACCATGCTTTAGGCTTGATGAGGGCTCTGGAGCATGGCTTAGCTCACCAGCATGTGTCCAGGCTGAAGAGGTGGCTGACACTTGACCTAAGGCTACAGTGTCCAGTACCGCAGCCGTAAGTCACATGTGGCTCCTGAGCACTAAAACGTGGTTGGTGCAAATCAAGATAGCGAGAAGTCTCAAATACACACCGGCTTTCAAAGCCCCCCAAGTATGAAAAGGAGAGTTAAATATCTCAATTAAAAAAAATTATCATTTTGAAATAATATTTTGGATATGTAGGAAGAGATAGAGTTTAAATTGATTTCAACCATTTACCTCTTTAATGTGACTACATAGAAGTATAAAACTACATATGTATGTAGCTCACTAATATTCCTACTAGATACCACAGATGCCAGAAGGTAGCAGTGGAGAAAGGACACAGAGAACCACCCACCCCAGGCCCATAGGGGTGCAGAGTAGTGCTGGCTCACACCTGTGCTCAGGTGATGGGGCAGCCCCCACCTGGCACCAGCACCGGGGCTCTTTCCCGCCCCTTTACCCTGGGGGCTCACCAGCAGATATCCTCAGGGTAAGTGGCAAAGTCGACATTCCACTTGGAGGTGCAGAGCTCTCTGCTGTGGGAGGATGGCTGGGGCTCACCTTTGCACCAAAGCCCCTGACACTTGCAGGCATTGAAGTCTTTCAGGATGCTACCAGGGAATGCATAAGGATCAGCGCCCAGACCACTTGGCTACCATGGACATATATGTCAATGGAAACCGAGCAGGACTGGGAGGCATGTAGCACAAGCCCTTGGTTTTCTTACTAATTTATTTTAATTGATGCTATGAAAGAGAGGCATCTCCCAGTCAGGCTTTGTGCCGCCATCTGACTCTTGCTCCCCAGCCACTTGCGCTGTCCCAACACTCAGCTCCTCCTTAGGGGCACCCCCTCCATCCTTCCCAGGAAGCCGGAGCACCTGTCACATCCTGCTGCAAGTGCATGGCCTGCCCATTCTGTGCCCTCACTTCTTCCTCAATAGACCAGTCTGCTTGGGGCCTAGTCCCATTCTGACTCTGGAATTTCCCTCCTCAGGATTCCCACCTCAACATTCTCCATCTCCATGGTTCCCACTCTTCCCCCCTCTAGAAAGAACCCACCAAGTGTCCCACTCTTGTCTCAGGACACCCCTCCTCTGGCCTCCTCTACGCCCAGTCAAGGTCTGTGGGGCACATCCAGAAGACTGTTCCCACAGCCCACAGCACCCAAGGCTGAGGAAGGGCCACTTGCTTGGCCACCTCCTTTCTGCATCTCTCTCCTGCCATGCTCAAGGCAAGGTGACCCCGGATACCAAGCATACAAGCACTTTATGAACTAGAGCCCCATGCCGAGGTGCACTAGGAAGACCCCATTCCCAGGGCTAGTCTCCCCACCCAGTGAGTTCCCTGTGCATTTGTGGGGAGATGGAAGTCCATAAGCAGAAAATGTAGGACAGAGTCAATGGGGCCTCTAGGGCAGTGGGTCAGGCCACATGGACCCAGAAGGGGCTCAGCGTGTGACCTATATTCGAATATCACAAAACAGCAGCTAGGCCACCAAGAAAATGAGTGTGGATGGCTGCACATGCCCCTCACCCCACCACCCACATAACCAGAGGGGCAAGAAAGTGCCACAGACAAATTCCAGAGAGGATGACTCTGCAGTGTGCATCTCCAGCCACGAGGCACAAGTTATCTAGCGGGGGATAAGGGAGCCATCCAAGAAAGGACCTGGCAGGGTCAACACTCACAAGGTGGCCATGGACTTCTCCTGGAAGGTGACAAAGGCCATCCCCAGGGGTTGGTACTGGACCCTGCATTCCTCCTCTGTCATCCTCTCCATCAGCCTGTCCTTCATTCGCGTGTAGTAAGAGATGGCGTCCTCCTACAAGAGGACACATCCCTCATCATGATGTGACCCTGTGCAGGCATCAGGGGGACCCCAGTGCCTGTTCTCTCATGGAGGATGTGGGCTCTCACCCACTCACACCCCTGCACTTCACAGCAGCAGAAGTGGCCGCAGGGCTTGGGGTTGATGAAGGTCCGCTGGCCTGTCTTCGTCTGCAGATTGGTGTAATAGGTCAGGCTCTTCTCAGTCTTGTTTCTGCAGTGGGGGGGAGTCAGGGGGACAAACTTCAGACTCACAGTCCTGTGGTATGGACCCTACACCCCTATCTGACTGTCTGTCACCCCCAGACCCAGAAGTCCAGTTCTCTGAACAGGAAGAGGGCAGAGCCCCCTCCCCCCACCCTTGCCAGGTGGGGCAGCCAAGGCCAACAGGAACAGAAGGTGGCACCTTAGAGGGGTAGGTGTCAAACCCCATGGAAGGCGCACCTGCAGCTTCCCTTACCTCTCCGTGCACAGGTAAATCAGCTTGGCCACATTGTAACATAACTGAACCTCCACCACCTCACACGTGGGATAGGCGTCCCTGTGCCCAGAATGGGCCGGAGGCAAAAGACAGGCATTGGAAAAAGAGAACCCCCTAGGAGAGAGACCCCAAAGGTGGCAGAGCACTCACCCGTGTCCGCAGAGACCTCTTTTCTTTTACCAAAGGGGAGAATTTTGAAATTTAATACAAAGAGGTCTTTTTTAAAATACATATTTCTTTTTTTTAGATTTATTTATTTATGCATACAAGAACTGGGGTACAGGCCAGAGATGCAGAGGGTAGTGGGGAGGGGGGCGGTAAGAGGATTTACCAGAGACAGAGTGGGGAAAGAGAACAGCCAGACAGACTGAAACATACTGCTGAGGAGAGCAGCAGGTGAATCAGGAGAGGTCTGCTGCACCATGTGGGTCACTCCCTGGCTGGCCAGGGAATTGAACTCATGCTGCAGTGGCTTCACAGGTTGTGTCTTAACCCCCTGCGCCACCAGGGAGGTCCCCAAAGAGGTCTTTTTTAATAGCATGAAAGAAACTGCCAGAAACTGACAAGTCTATACCAATTTGGCTTTAAATCAGCTGGCACTTCTCATGGGGAAAGTAACACTATCTGCTGTCCCCTCAACATCGCCCCCCATGTTCTGGGTCAGATCTACCTCAGATCATCACTGAAATCCTATTCAGTTTGTGACTTATTTTGAAGGGTATGGGCTTTTTAAATCTAATGAAAGCAAAAGGACCCTCAGTCCAGAAAATGTCTACACACAGGTAACAATAACAGCAACATACTTATAAGTGCGTTCTATCTGTATTTACTGCTGGCCAGGTACTATCAGAGTATTAACTCATTTAATTCTCTAAGGATAACCTGTAAGGTTTTATCCTCATTTTACAGGTGAGAATAAGGATCCGAGACATTAAAGACTGCCCAAGGTCACACAGCCAGTGAATGTGTGAGCCAGGATGTGAATCCAGGCAGCCCAACTCCAGGGCCCACGCCACAGCCACTATGTGATGCTCGCTCGCTGTATACACACAATGAACCTACAGCTCCCAGAATCCCTGGGCCATGGAAATCCCCACCCACAATGCACCAGGCACTGTTCTAGGTACTGGGGATAGAGCCTGGCTGAGTTTGTATTTTAGTGAGACAACCCAGACACGTGTCAGTCATTCAATTAATTGAGAAGCCAATTTCAGGTCCAAGAAGGCTCTGAAGAAGAGAAACCCAGCGCAAGCACCACGGCTACAGGGCAGTCACACATCACTGGGTGCAGGTGTCACTGCAACAGCGTCTGCTCCATGTTTCCTCTCCAAAGAGGAGAAAGTATGATTCATCATTTGTATGGACATGAAGGTACTTTTCCCTCCCTGAAATCATACATTAAGTGGAATTATTATTTCCAAATGGTGTCGAGGAAGCACTTTGGGGCCCTCATTCAAGAAATAGAGAAAAGAATTATTCCACCATACAATGTTTCTATGCAAAAAAAAAAAAAAAAAAAAAAACTTGAGTTGCTGAAGAGGTTAGTCAATAAATTTTAAGCATTCATTTCACGGTTCTGTTTATACTAATAATTTACTTAACAAGTGTTCCTCATAAATACTGCAGCTAGACATTAGCCAGTCCCTAGTCCACACTACAAATCCGTGGCTGCTGAACGGGTGAGGCCTGCATACAGAAGAAACCTCTGCTCCCAGCCCAGGTTCAAGCCCTCCAATCCCGGGGCCTAGGAGGCTTCCTGGGCAGCTGACCCCCTTTGCTGGTGCCCCCTTTCCTGCACCCATGCCAGTGTGCACAGGCGCACCCTTCATCCAGCCTCCACCTCATGAACCCTTGTTGCAGGTGGTCAGTGGGGGCTGCTGGAGGGAGGGGCTAGAAGACAGCTCGGGGAGAGCTGTGTGAGGACAGCCTCTGGACACAGTGCTTTCTCAAGAGACACTTGCTGGGTGGATGACAAACCAGTGAATGCTCAGAGGGCCCCAGGCCCCTCCAATTCTAGGGCTAGCTCTGTCTCATGTACTCATATTCTGCTAAGCTGATGCCTGGGAACCCCGGGTGAATCACTTTCTTTTCACATGTGTTCTCAGTATTTTAATTTGCACCCACACCCTGGCCAGGACTCTGACAGTTGCCAGGAGCACCCATGGCTGCTTGTCAAGGTCACCCCAGTTCTCAGCCCTTCCATAGCACTAGCACATGGCAGCGATTTGATACTTATCGGGCAGGGCCAGGTCCTTCTCAGATGTCACCTGGGTGCCCAGTGGAAGAAGGGGGTTCACTAAGGCACATGACTCACAGAACTGTGCTAGTCCTATCTGGGTGGGGGTTTTATTCCCCTTCCCCTCTCACAGCCCTACTTACCGGAAGTGGTTCTCCACAGTCTCCTTCTTGGCATCTCTGGGGAGTCCTGTGATAAACAGGGTCCTCTTTACCTGCCGGAGAAAGACATGGGAGATGTCACCAGGGCAAGCCAGTCTGCCAGGGACCTAGATTTTCCATGCTTTTCAGCTTCTAGAAAGAAAGCAAAGGGACCTCAGAAGGATCTGTGTTCCTTGTGCCTGGGAGAGCCCCAGAGCAGGCTATTTACACAGCATCTCTTCCAGACTGTTCAAAAACACATTCCAAAGCAATTCTACAAGTCTCATCTACATGACAGGAGACTGAGAAAGAACCCAGAGGGTACATGACTCAAATGGTGTCACACAGCTGATCAGAGGAGGACCCAGGCATGGGGCCAAGAACAGCAGGTCCCCAAATGACGTCCTTCTAGTCAACCTTTTTTCATAATAATGATGACAAAAATAATCCTGGTCTATGAGAACCTGGCTTCATTATACATTATTTTTGCTTTAAGTTAGTTTCTAAGAATGTTAAGTAAGAACTTAGGGTAATAGAAAACTCCCCCTGCTTTTACCAAGCTGTGGGTTTCAAAGAGAGCGGTCTTCTCTCAATCTGACTTCATGGAAGCTACTTAGAATAAGTAACTACAAATATAAACCCCACAAACCTCAGGGTTAGTTGGCAGAATAGGCAGGAAATATCTAAGTGCTGCAACAATTTATCAGAAAAAGAAAACAGTGCATGCTAACTTCGAGCAGAAAGAGATAAGCCAGATTCCGCAGAGACCCCTCCTTAAAGCTCCCTGCCTTTGTGGCCTGTGGACAAAACCCGGGGTGCCTCTCTGGCTCCCACCTGAAACCCTCCCCAACACACATCCCACCCCAGCCTCACTCACCAGGTTCTCCTCTTTGTACCTGATGGACTTGGTGTGGTGCCGCATGAAGCCCACGGTGAGGAACAGGTAAATGATGGCGAAGACGGTGTGCAGCCAGAGGAGGTTGTTGCTGGGGCAGGGTGGGGGACACACCACCTGCCATCAGAGCAGTGGTCCCCAGCAGGGGCGGGTGCCATGGCTGGGGCTTGGTGACCCTTATGGCACTGAGCTGAGGGCCAGTGGCTTCATCACAACAGATGCCTCCAACAGAAGCGGTCCAGCCAGTGCCCTCAGCCCACAGTGAATCTTTAGAGAGGTCCCCTGTCCTGACAAGTAAGCCCCACAGCCACAGGGCCATCTGTATTTCCTAAAACCCCTGCAAAACAGTTGCTACCTGGGGCGTGTCTGTGCCCACAGCCTAGGAACACTAGGTGCAATGGGGCGCTCAGACACTGGCCTGTCCACTGCAGCCTCCCTCTGACTACCCAGGGCTCCAGAATCCACCTCTCCTTGGTCTCACCCACCAAGGCCCTCATGGCCTCCTGCCCCATACTCACTCAGTCTGTAGGTTTGCTATTGTTGTCCTCCCAAAACTGTAAGGGTCTTTATCTAAAGAGAAACACAGATTACTTAATTTTAGGGTCACGCTGGGGAAGAAGGAGGGAAAATAACCAGCCTGGGTTTTTGGCGCTCTAAGGAAGAGCAGGAGATGGCCAGACAGGCGAGAGGTCAGTGCCGCCACCCAGGCATTTCACAGCTATACCCATCAAAGTCACTGCTTTCTCTAAGCTTCTCAACCTCTCATGTGGGTACAGTTAAAATTTGAATTCATCTTGTTTTGATGTGCTTGTGGCACTCTGTGAGAAATCTAGAAACGCCTTAACTGTTCTCAAAAACAAGGTTGGGATTCACTGGCATAGAAGTGGATTCAGGGCCTCCCCGGTGTCGCAGCGGTTGAGTGCTGGGTTGCGAAGCTGCCCACAGCCTCTGCAGCATCGGTTCAATCCCCAGCTGCTCCCCGGCCACCAGAGGAGGGTCCCACATGGCGCACAGACCTCTCCTGCCGCCCGCTGCTCCCCTCAGCAGTGTCCTTCGGTCCTTCTGCCTGCTCTGCTCCCCGCTCTGGCTCTGGTGAATTCTCTCACCCTCCCGCGCTTCTGACTGTACCCAGTGCTTGTATAAATAAATAAATAAATCTTTAAAAAAAAAAATTAAAAAAAAAAAAAAAGAAGTGGATTCATGCTGGACTTTCAGAGGCTGGACTCCTATGATTGGAAATACAATTTCACAGTCTGATTTTTACCTTGACCATCACAAATATCTTCTGGATCCATTATTATGGATCTCCCTAATCTGGGTGATGGCAGGAAAGTATAAAACGCTCTCTGAAAGCCCTATAATCTATAAACCTTGAAGGTTTTTTTCCCTCTTATTTATTTTTTTAATGATTTCTTTTTTATAAATATTTTATTTTATATAATTCTTACATCATTTTTCATCTTTGTACAATGTATGCATTTTCATTTTGGTTATACCCCCATACAATTGCATTCCCCCCTTTATTTTGACTCTAGTCCTTCCTCTCCCCACCCCTCCCTAATCTCCACCCCCCTCCCCCCGTAGTGTGTCTCTGGTTTATAGTTGCTTGTTGATTTTGATTATTACTTTGCATTGATTAGTCTTTTTCCTGGTCTCTTATTTAGGTTTTCTAGATTCCTGCTATGAGTGAGACCATCCGGTATTTTTCTTTTTCTTTTGGCTTATTTCGCTGAGCATGATCCCTTCTAGCTCCATCCATGTGCTGCAAACTGCATGTATTTATCTTTTTTGAATGCTGAGTAATATTCCATGGTGTATATGTACCACATCTTCTTGATCCAGTCATCTGTTTTTGGGCATTTGGGTTGTTTCCATAGCTTAGCTATTGTACATAGTGCTGCTATCAACATAGGCATGCAGGTGCCCTTTGGAATTACTGTTTCTGTGTCATTTGTTTCCCTCCTATTTAGACAGAAACATAAACCTGGGCCCCACTCTTGGCCCAGGTTGGGGGGTGGATTCTTCTCCAGATACTTAAGCAAGTGGAAAAGTTCAGAAAGTCACCCTGAGCCCTCACAGCTGAACATGAACATGCACCCTGGGGCCCTCCACAATGAGTCCCTTCGCCAGCACTACTGTTCTGATGAGGACAAGGAGTCATTACCCAGCAGGTCTCCTGAGAGGTTGACAGGCAGGATGACACACAGGGACAAGCAGCTGACCACCACCAGCAAGAAGATGATGTGTCTCTGGAAGGACAGGTAGTGCATGGCGTCCTCCCCGCACCACTCCAGGATCTGGTCGTCGCTGGCCAAGACACACACATGGGATCTCAGTGAGCTGCGCGAGAGGCTGTGCTCTGGGGCCTCGCACCTAATCTCAGCTAGTCACGACAATCCCATAAGGTGGGTTCTAATTTATCCCCCTCTTAAATGTGAAGAAACAGAGGTACAAACAAATTGCATGTTTGCACTCACAAAGCCTGGAATAGCAGATCCTTGAGGGGACCTTCCAAGTCTGCCCTCTTAGTCCCTACACCACACTGCCAGGAAGGAACCTACTATGCATTTGTACTTTTTCTAGAAACATGTGCACCCACATCTGTGTTGGGATGATGCACATAAACACAGTGATCCCACAGCTCTACCCAGCTTCTGTGAACAAGCAAAGCCACGGACAAGAAGGCTACTGGGACTTTCCTTCTGATGAAGATGGGAGCATCCATGCTCACGACTCCTGAACTATCTCTCACCTCCCCTCAGCCTCCCTGGGAGGCCCTGTGCACCCTGCCTCCCCGCCTCCTAGCCCTGGTCCAGAGTGACTTTCCCCATCCTCAGTGCCATATCTGGAAGCTCCAAGTCATTGAGGGAACCCAGAAAATCCAGGGTTCTCCCAGCCAGGCTTCCATGCTATGGGGAAAAAGGGGGTCTCCCTCTTTCCTGCTCTCCTGACAGTGAGGTGCCTTGAGAAGCCGGCCTCCAGAAGGCCAGGAAAGCACTGTATGGGGAAGTAAATAAAAAGGCAGGTCTGGAAGGAGCAGAACATGGGCTTTGCAGACAACAGTCATACCACAGCGGGATCCTGCATAGCCCGCTCCAGAAGCACCTGAGGCTGGAGCCCAGAGCAGCAAGGCCACTTCATGCCAGCCACCTCAGCAATTTTGCAGGATTCACACAGGCAACGGGGATCCGTCACCAGGCATGGTAGATGCTCAGAAATACGCTTGCTAACCTTACTCCTTTTTATTGTTTAACTGGAGGACAAAGTCTTGTGATTAACTACACAGTTTCTCATTTATAATGGAGCTACCAAAATGCACATAATTTGCCACAAAACATGTTTACTAAAAATTATTCATGAAGATTAAGACCAACAAATGAGCAATTTTCAGCAAAAGGTTTTTTTAAGACACATTTCTGACTTCCTTATCTTGCTGGGAAAGTCAATTTAAATGGAAACTAAGAGGTCTCTTTAAGTGTCAGCTGCAGCGTTGGCCGTGAGCAGCTGTTAAAATTTAATTGCAGCTTTAAAAAGCCAAAGGGTAATCCTTTAGGGGGCTAGAAGAGCAAAAACACTGGGAGTTCAAATGGAAAAATATATCTGATATAGCACTAAAATGGCAAAGCAGGAGACACAGGAAACACAGCTGGACACACACGACAGCCCCACCGACAGAAGGCGCGCCCACACCAAGAGGAGCTCAGGGGTCACTGGACCTTGAACATGGCCAGTGCGGTGAGCGAGTGAGCACAGTGCAAATCTGTTACCAGCCTTTGCTGGCTACCATGAAAATGATGAGTCGATGTTTCTGGTTTTGCTCCACCTTACACAGGCTGAAAGTGGGATCCAGAGCCCAGGGGATTGGCCTGAGCCCCAAGCAGCCAGGGCCATGGAGAATGGCTGGTCAAAGGAAAACAGGCTGTGAGCCCCATCAGAAGGAGAGCCATGGGAACAAGACTTCTTCTCATTGAGTCTTTTCTGTATGTGCACTATGCAAAGTGCTTTTTGCACTATGCAAAAAGCTCAATTTTATTAATTTCACCATTAGGAGGAAATGGATCCTAGTGACATGATTTTGTGGGAGACAGGGAAGGGTGAGTTGACCGATCTGCCTCTTATACCCTCGAAATACCTCTTCCTGCTTCCTCCTGCTCCAGTCCAGAGATGACTGGGTTCTTCTAAAGCACCCCTGGGAGCCAGTCCACTAAAGTCCATCCCATGTTCTACATCACACTCTGACATGTATTATTCATGTGACTAGGCAGAGCAGATGAGATCTCTGTCCCCTTTCATAGTCAGGGAAACTGAGACCTAGAAAGACGTATTAACCAACGTCCAATAACTACCATATTTCATCAACTCTAAGCTGTTCTTTTCATATTTCAACATGTCTGAAATGGGGCACACTCCCTATGATCATAACTAATCACATAATTTGTTAGGCAATATTTCCCCAAACTGCCCCACAGCTTCCGTTCAAACAGATCAGTGTTAAACGGTAAGTAGATGAAATTCTTGTCTAAAACAAAAAAATAACTTGTACAGGGGCTGTGTGAGCCATCTTTATTCTCACCCCACATACTACTTTGGACCTAAACTGAACAGTATCTAGGAGACCCTACCTCAGGATCAGGCAACTTGTCTCTTTTCTCCTGATGGGCCAAACACCAAATAAACCCACCCAAAGTGCCCCCAGCGGCCAGTGCTATACTCACTGCAGGCGGAAGATGGCCGTCAGCCAGGGGCAGCATCCCTGAAACAGAGAGATCAGGGATTAGCTTCCAATTAGCTTCCAACATCTGTCTTAGGGGGCAAGTATAATCATTCTTTTCGGCATTAAATAACCATCTAACGTCCTGTAGTATAAAAACAGCACTTTGTCCCAAACTCAGTAATTTACTCCCTTGACCCAAATGTGTCAGAGCCTGCATACTCCTTGTCCTTCACAACTGTGCCTGGAATTATTGCGAAAACCTCTCCAGTTTTGACCATTTGTGGAATTACGCATGTTCCAGGATCAAAACATGAAACTTGAATCAAGAGCTCAGGGCAGCTCTGGAGAAATGGATCTGGGCTTCTATTTGGTTGCTTCCAAATGACTGAATGAGACTGGGGACAAAAGACAGGAAACAAACCTAATCAGTTAGATAGTTCCCTGGAGTGGAACTTAGAGAGAAAAAAAAATGACGTTTATAAGTCTGATTGTCCATCAACTCTCTAAAATTTAATACTCCCTAAAGCTGGACCATCACTTGCTGGGAAAGACAGATATCTGTTCATCAATTACTAAACATCTACTGGGTGTGAGGTGGCAGGAAACAGGGCTGGGTAGGACAATGTTCCTGCCGACATGTGGCTCATAAGCCAGCAGGCAAGTCAATCCTTAATGATCACACAAAGCCTTAAGCGCAGTAACAGAGACCAGGGCTGGGACCACAGGGGACTGAACAGCTCTCTGTCTGAGAGTTAATCAAATCTCAGGATCCCCAGGCACTCAACTGACATTTTTACTGTGTAATTCCAAGTTCAGTTGTCTTTACTGGTACAGAGAAGAGCTCTCACCAGCTCTTAAGATTCAGGGTACTAAGTTAATGGCTGAACAAGGGCACAACAGCACCCCTTACTGCTGGTCCCCCCTTCACACCCCTCCTCTCACACTAGCCAAGACCCACGCTGTTCCTTTGATACCTACCAGTTCATTTTCAAAGTCGGGTTGCCCTAAGGAGGAAGATGACAATCTCTGGAATCTGGACTCACTGGACAAAAGGAAAAAAAAGATGACTCTTTCAAAACATCTAAAAACTGATCTCAAGTGTTGCTTCCTCTTAGAGCTCAGGACCAAAGCTATCAGCCCTCAACGGCAGGGACAAAATACAACTCACCTATGAAAAATATAGACAAAGTCAGCGACCATTCTGAGGTTTGGTAAGATATAAAACGCTATGTTACATGGATGAGTAACATGAGGTAAAATGACCTCAACCCCCCACACTCTTGCTCAGTCAGCACAGAGATTGGTCTACCTAAAGCAACTCCAAAATGTTACCTGTTTACAGCATATTTCCCAATATAGCAAAAAGAACTTGGAATAGGTACTATATTTTATTAACTCAAAGACATCACTGGTTATAAGGAAAATACTTATTCTAGGAACCACTAAGAAGGAAAAATAGCTGCCAATTGAGCTAGGACCACCATTGATAATAAGTAATATATCAGTTTCAGAGACAAGAAAATGTCAAAATGTGTGTTTTAGTGTTGACGAACTATGATATTTTATAATGTAGTATTTTAATCAGATTCCTTCTTCTGATGTAAGCAGCCCATAAAAAAAAATGCTCCGTGCACATGAATCAGAGGTCAATTTTCACTCCTGATTTCCCTACTCCTGCTCCACCCTCCCACTTCCAATGACCTGACACTTAGTAAAACTCAACTTTCAAAGCCTTCACAGAACCGTGTCTCATTTCACCTGCAAAGTAACGCTGTGGGAAAGCAAGGACATAGGAAACAAGCCACAAGTCTGGGGACCTGAGCGAGATCATATAGCCAAGGAAGCGGAGGGTCTTCAAGTGTTCTTTTCTTTTTTTTTAAGATTTATTTTATTTGGGACTCCCTGGTGGTGCAAGGGGTTAAGTCTCAGCACTATGGAGCAATCTGCAGCCACTGCAGCACGAGTTTAATCCCCGGCCAGGGAGCTGGCCCACAAGCCACACCGACATCTCCTGACTCACCCGCTGCTCCTCTCAATAGTGTATTTCAGTAGATCCGCAAAAAGAAAAAAAAGATTTATTTATTTATGCATACAAGAACTGAGGTGTAGGCCAGAGGTACGGGGAGGGTGAGAGGATTCACCAGAGACAGAGTGGGGAGCAGAACAGGTAGATCCACTGAAATACACTGCTGAGGGGAGCAGCGGGTGAGGCAGGAGAGGTCTGCTGCGCCATGTGGGTCAGCTCTGTGGCAAGGGATTGAACTCATGCTGCAGTGGCTGGTGATAGCTTGATAGTGTTGAGACTTTAACCCCTGTGCCACCAGGGAGGCCCCCCCCCACAATGTTCTTTTCTACTGCAGCATGTGACCCCTCCTAGGGATGACTGTGCTGAAAATGCATTAGATGTCTCAAAAGCTTCCCCACACACAATTTCAAGCTTCGGTGCAGCTAAAGCAACAGGCTCCATCACCCACCCAGGGGCTCACAGAGTAGAGCCCAAGGGGAAGGCAGGTGCAGTCACAGATACACCTTCTCCTCCCAGTTGCTATGATTCTCCCCCCTCCCACACTGGCCACATTTCACCAAGTGCTGCCTTGGAGCAAGAATGGAGGGTGAGGGCCTCCAAGGTGGTGCAAGGGGTTAAGATGCAACCTATGAAGCTAACCACAGGGAGCAACCCACATGGCGCAGCAGACCTCTCCTGACTCGCCCGCCGCTGCTCCCCTCAGCGGTGTATTTCAGTCAATCTGCCTATTCTGCTCCCCACTCAGTCTCTGGTGAATCCTCTCACACACATACCCCCGCCCCCCACACCTCTGGCCTGTACCCCAGCTCTTGTATGCATAAAAATAAAAAAAATAAATCTTTAAAAAAAAAAAGAATGGAGGGTGAACAACCAGGAGGCTGGGGTGGGGCAGCCTGGGTCAGGGCATGTGTTTTCCCAACTCACTTCCTCTTGCTCCACCTGATGCAAGATCCTGGGGTGTGCACTGGAGCTGGAAATTCCAGTTGTGCAGATCTAGAACACATTCTTCCACTTCAGGTAAGTAAACAGAGCACCCTAAGAGCCCAGGGTGGAACTGGGAGGACATGAGGTCTGGCCAAGTGACTCTGTGCTTTGTAGCAGACTTGTTGGAAGCAGACTGAGTCAGAGCCATCAGCCACACTGACCCAGAAGAAAGATGACTCATTTATGGGCCCACTGTCCTCTTAATCCACCTTGCTTTGTGCACAGCCCTAAACTGATCAATTTCAAAAAAAATCAAACATTCAAGGTGTGAAAGAAGTTGGCATCTTCCTCCACAGATAATGGAAGCTCTAAGTGTCTAAAACAACTAGATTTCCTCCACAGCCTGAAGCCAACAGGCTCATGGTCACAGCCCAGCCAGAAGCCCCAAGAGATTTGGCCCCAGGTGTTTGGGCCTGGATTTTCTCACTGGCATAGGGAAGGTAAGGAGGCTGACCACATGGGTCTGTGGTGCAGGGCACAGAGAACATGGTTTCCGGTACAGGCCCAGCATGTACACTCAGTGAACACAATCTGATATCAGTGTCACGTGTGCATGCTGCTTGCTGGGCTTCACAAGTCCCCAGCCCCTCCCACCCCCCACCCCCACCCCCAACACACATACACACTCATTCAAGGTGAAATATCTTTTTTTTTACCTGCCTGCTTCTGACACCAGGGCAATGCAGCCATAATCCCAGAATCTTCTTCTTATGATGGAAAACACCAATATTAAAAACTAAAAGTAGGAAAGAAATCAGGTAAAAGCACATTGGATGGCTTCTAACGAGAAGATACAGCTGTCTTAGGGGCAAAACCCACCTGTCTAGATTCCAGGGGCCAGAAGACCTTGAATATCATCCAGGCCCAGACAGGGTACTGTGCTCCTAAGGCCACACACTCATTGACTGGATGCTCTGAGGACCCCTCCACCAACTCCAATCACTGGTCACCTGTGCCCATATCACAAAGGTCACCAACACAGACACAGAGCTGGCCATGCACATGCGCTATCATTGCTCTTAAGGCAGAATCAACAGCAGTTTCCTCAGCCCTGAGCTGCCTTCAGCAGCCCCTTGAGCAGGAAGTTTCCACAGCTGTCAGGGGACCAGCTCCCTTCTCCACCTTACATAATTATAGAACCTCGGTGGCAAAGCCCTCTCCCCCTCCCCTAAGCTGAGCCAGAGTGGTCAGATTAGCCAGAGTGGTCTGAGGACTTTGGGCATAGAACTTGGGAGTGGCTGAGCCCATCGAGGACCTGGTGCCTGGCTGGTCAGGCCTCCCAAAGCTGAGGACCTCAGCAAGTCTGAGTGCCCAACTGCAACACAGGGGTGGGGGACTGGACAAAAAGTCTCTCTAAACCCCTAAGAGCTCTAAAGCTATAAATGTGATACTGCCTCCTCCCTCCCTACCCGGCCACCTTATAAGTTTCTCTGACAAGTTCCCACACATCTTCCTTCCATGGACATGCTCCCTCCCTCCAAGAGTGGGGAAGAAAAGAGCTATCTCTGCCTGCCCTCATCAGAAACTGACAATTTAAATGCAGGTCTTGTTTTCCAAAAGGAAATCCAAAGAACCTTGATGCCAGTGCGGCTGGGTTCCTGAAGAATTCTCTTGAGGTGGAGGGGGAAGTTAGTGATAGGTTTTGTGAGTCATACAGGATAACCACAAAGGTTGCTCAGCAAGCGCCTGCCCTCTCTGCCCCCACCCCCTTGAGCCCTTCTTTGCTCCTGTGGTGTGACTATTTCCCAAGAGTCCATGTTTTCCAGGTTATTCTGGCTTTTATGTGCCCCCTCCTCCACTAACAACTTCCCACTAAAAAAAATCCACCCTTCCCTCCAAGGCCCCCCCCCCGCCCCCATCATAAGCTCCTGGAAAGCCACTTTCCTCAATCAACATGTTCTAGACATACCCACAACAGCCCATTGGGGTTGCCCACAACACCCTTCCTCCCCAGGCCTCTCACTCTGGCCCAAACTCTCCCCTCCCTCAAAACACTGGATTACAGAGCCAAGGCCACCCTCCCCCATTAATGCAACCGACCTGCAAGTCCATCACCACATTCCCACCTACCCCCTCTCCACTGAGGTTGGTCTATGCAACAGTGTTCTCAGGCTACAAATGGATTTTAGCTGCAAGACATGGAGAATTTGGCAACGAAAGAGCCCTTTTTTATAAATCAACATGAACAGCATGCGCATAGTTCCCATATCAGCCCATAAAGGTCCAACGATATAGCAAAGATACAATGCAACAATTTAGATCTCAAGATTAACCAATGTTAGTTCAGGGAGAGTAACCTTGACATCCGGAAAGAGAAGGAGGAAGAACGCTTGCCCCTCTTCCTATGAACATTTTTTTGTCCAGCAAACACATTTGATGACTGCCTCTCTCCCTTGGGGACAAGAGGCCCTCATGCTACCTAATTCCCTCGCCCCCAGACCCTCACCAAACCCTAGCTCTGGCACAAAGCAGTCCAAGGGGTTCTCTTCCCTCCAGCCCCTCTGACCCCATGGACTCCAAAGGTCTCTGCTACTTGCTAGAGCACCAGAGGGACCCCCATCCCGCGGGCATTTGTGAAGAGAAGCTGCCCCTTTGCCCCAGTAAATTTTCAATAGCGAACACTGAGTCGTCGTGGGGAAGAAAAAGGGCAGATTTGAAACTAGGGGAGGGAAGGCTCTGGGAACAAGGAGGCAGACATTAAGGAAAAGCCACCTGTGAGGGTCAGCTCTGATAAGGTGTACCTTCTCCGGCTTCTCCTTTTCTCCGCATAGGATTCTTAAACGCCAGGCCCCGGTGAGGGAAGTGATATTTTATAAGCTGGGAAGTGCAACTGCCCTCACTCTAATCCACATGCTCTGGTCACATCTTGCATCCCTGTGGACTGACCCTTCCCAAGGGCCTCAAAGACAGGCTGATAACTCTATCGGTGACTCTATCGATGGTAGTAATCAAAGGAACGGTGGTGTGTGTGTGGCCTCCACATGCTCCCAAACTCAGGTACAATCCTCCATCTGACAGAGAGAAACTGAAGCCCAAACAAACACGCCCAAGGTCACAGAGTCAGTAGGCAGCATTGCTGGGCCTGAAACCCAGGTGTGGCTGGCTCCTCACTTGAGTTTCCCAGCAGGTCCTGGGTAGGGGAGCTAAACAATACCTGAGGGGCAGGGGGACATGTTTCAAGAGGGGTCTCACCAGGAAGCAGCTGACGTCTATGAGTAGGACGGTGGGGATGCCACCGAAGGTGACCCCCTGGAGCACGGTGCTGTTTTTGGCCGAGTTGTAGCAGTAGGTGTCGGTGGGCTGGTCCCCGATGCCCAGCCCTTCACGGATGGACACAGTCTTGGGCTGCCACAGCTCCAGGAAGGGGGAGTTGCTCATTGTGCCTGCCCTGGAGAACAGGACCAGGCAAATGGTCAGGGCTCAAACTTTGCTGCTGACACCCCAACCAGCACTAGCAGAGCTAATGGTAGGGATCTCCTCCAGGAGCTGATGAGTGCAGGGAGCCAGCAGGAAGGAATGAGAGAGCAGGACACCAGAGCCCCGTGAGCCTGGCAGAGTCTATAGAGAATAGCTCCATTGTGGAAGAGTCCCAAGGGTCAGATGGATGGGGTGGGTGGCTCACCCAGGACACAGCTGGCAGCTTCCCCACAGAGGGGGTGAACGGGAGAAGGGGAAGGACAGAAGCTCAGCAGCTGCCTGCTTGAGAGGTGCGGAGGCCCTTCCAGCCTCAGGGCTATGGCTGGAAAGCCATCCTGTGGGGGCCACTGGGAGGCCTGAGCAGAGGCAGGGGTGAGGGAGGAAGGAAGACAAAGGCAGAGAGAAGAAAGTGTGTGAATAATCGAGGATGAAAGGACATTCAACAGCACGACACGGCTGACCCACTAGAGCCAAGTGGACGGAGACCTGGCTCCCGCCGCTCATGGGACCTCAGAAACAGCCCAGTCCACACATGGGAAACTGAGACTCGGAGGCTTAATAACCTGCTCCAAGATTAACTAGCTGTTCAGCTAACAACAGGTGTCAGATCAGCCTCCTGACTCCCAGATGCCACTTATCTCTGCCATGCCTCGCTCCCTCTCCAGCCAGCTGTCACCCAAAGGGAGGGGAGGGAGCAGCCTGAGAGGAAGGGAGCAAGAACTGTGAAGACAGAGTGAACAGGGAGAGGGGTAGTCTCAGTGGGAAGGGAGCCTCAGGGCCTCCTCAGGGACCCCCAGGTCACCCACTCTGTTCCTGGAGAGCTCCCCTATCTCCTTCCTTCTTGGCCCTCACTCCTGCACACCTTTGGTCTGGCCAGACGGCCCAGCACTTCCAAAGCAAACGTCCCTCAGGCTAGTGGTTGACCTTTCCTTTCTGAGGCTCCTGGACCCTCTGGTGGGGCTAATGGAAATATCCAGGGTTTGTCTCCTAACACTGGGAGGGCCAGAGTTAGTGTCCAAGTTCAAGCCTGATTTTCACTTTGTCTGTGGCTGAAGGGCCTCAGGAAACACTTGGTACTCCCTTTCTTGAGCTCCCACTTCCCCAAGTCTCTTTCAGCTAGATTCCCAAAGGGATCTCTGCTAGGACTGAACTTCCAACTTGTCATAAGTACAAAAATTTTGGGGCTAAGAAGAAAAGGTATAGAGAACCCAAACAGGTTTTTTGACTAGCTGGTAATACTGGTGGGTAGGTGGGGAGAGATTCCCAATTCTGACCCCTGGAACTGCTGGGCAGGGGGCACATACATACACAGGTCAGAAAGTGCAGGAAGGGTAGTCGGGTGGCAGGCCCGAGGACATGGGAGGGTTCCCAAGAGGGCTGAGTTACTTTTTCTCCCCTCTGCGAGACCTGGCAGGGGCTGGAGCATGTGACTTCAGAGTCATGAGTCGGCGGCGCTGGGCAGAGTCAGGAAGGCTACCTCTGGGAGACAGATGGTCTTGGCTTCCCTCCTTTAAACTCCACCCAGTGGCACCACCCCAACGGAAAGCTGATGCAAGGCTAAGGCCTGTCCCAGCTTCCGGTCCCCACACTTACCAGATGCCAGGGGAAGGAAGGCCCGTGGATAAGCCTCGTGGAGACGTCCTCAATGGGAGCTGGCTCCGGCAAAGTCAAAGGCGGCCCTGGCCACCTCCCAAGCTCCCTTGGGTCTGCCGCTCATTTCCTGCAGGGCTTTCCTGACCAGCTTTCAAGACTTGCCTGAAGAAACACAGACAGCTAGTCAAGTGGGGACTGCTCTTCTCCAGTTGAGGGGTTCTGGCCTGGAACCCTTCGACACCACCTCCTCCTGCACCCAAATCTGCTGAAATGTCTAGAACTCAAAAGCTCAGCTGGAGTCTTTGGTGGTTCCCAGTGGGTTCCCCCTGCCCTGGCTCTCTCCCCCACCTCCCAGAGCTGCCTCCCCACCCCCACTCCTTGAAGTCTGGGTCTCCTCTCTCCTCACCTAGCATCACCTGAGGCTACAGCCTTTCCCCTCTTCTCCAGTGGCCCAGGGACCTGCTGGGGCAGTGATCCTCCCCAAACAGGTGGCAGCTATTAGGGAGGCTTCCTAAGGTCCCGCAAGGGTTAGAATCAGGAAAAAGAAATGCCCGCAGAACAAACAGAAAGACTTGAAAAGTAGAGAGAAAAAGCATCTGCCTGAAATGTTCACAAAAGGAGCATTGTCCCCGGAGAAGGGAGTGTGCTTTGGTGCTAGGGCAGGGTAGGGAGGGAGAGACAGCCCTCACCAGCCCTGCTCGATGCCAGCTGAGAAGAGCAGAGGCCCCACAGGAAAAAACCCATGGCTTCTCTTCCCCCTTCAGCCCAGTCACTAAGTCACTTTCTGTGGAACAAACAGGCTGTCCTGATTTTACAAAGTTTGATAAGAACTCAGTGAACCCACCAGCCTGGGATGGAGTCTCAGAACTTCTCAGTGAAGAGGCCTGTATACTGTCTGTCCCCTCCAGGTGAGCTACCCAGGGAAGGGAAAAGCTTTGGGGCCCCTTAGTCTGACCCTTTGATGCAACTGTAGTGTGTCCCTGCCTGTTACCCATAGCAAGTTCGGGTTCTGCAGACCCCATGGTCCCTCTGAGGCCAGCCCCTCTGCACCTCCCAGAATAGGTGTGCTCCAGAGAGCAGCAAGGACATAGCCATCACAAGGCAGCCCAGCCACGCTTAAGGGAGGAAGGTGAGAAGGGACCAACAGTGCTGGGCAGGGGCCAGACCAGCAAGTAGGCACTGTTGCCCTTCCTCAATGAGCCCTGCCCATTGGCAATATCCCACCATCCCACATTTGTAGATATGCATATGGAATGCACGGCACTGACCTATACCTTCCAGACAGCTGTCTAAGCATCGTCTCATTCCCATTCAATACCCTGAGGATAGAAAAGCCAAGATTGTGGCTGAAGCCAGGAGCCAGAGCAGCAGCAGGTGATCTCAGGCCCCCAACTCAAAGTTCATCCCTTATGCACCCCCAAGTCTGGCTGTGGCCACTGAGACAGAGGGCCAAATCCACCAGCTGGTCTCAAACTTGCCAAAGAAGTAAATCACCAACTCTAACCCATGTCTGACCTGGTCGCTGGATGGGTGAGGACAATTCATAGGCTTAACTTCAGAGCCTCAACCCTGCAGGGGCTGGTACTAGCCACACAACTTCAGATCAGTAGGAAGCTGGGAGCTCATTTGGTATATTGCAGCCCCTGAGGACACCACCTGAGGCTGAAAGACAGGCTGCCCCAGGGTCTCAGGTAGCCAGTCCTAACAGGTACTGACACCATTCGCTTTTGTTTGTTCGTTTGCTTGCCTGTTCGTTGCTTATTTTTGTTTCTGTTTAGTTTCTTTTTTTTGTTTTTCTGGTGTCTTAGCAGAGCTCTTCTCGCCCTCCCCCAAGCTTCCCTCCTCAGGAGGCCACCAGGGCTGGAGGGAGTGGAGGCACAACCCCGAGGCGGTTTCCAACTTCCCAGCCACAGGAGACTCTTGCGTGGCCCTTTTCCTGGCCTACCTGGCAGACAGTCCAAGAAGGAAGAGCCCGGCAGCTAAGCTCCAGGTTAGGCAGGGAATTCGGACTCCAGCTGACAGGCGCCTGTCAGAAGCCGGGAGAAGCGTTAGGCTGGATGCATCCACTCCTCCCACCCACCCCGTCCACCCCTGCTTCGGAGTGGGGGCTGCGGAGGCCGGAGGCCCGCCCCGGAACAGCTCGCTTGACGCGGCACCGGGCGCAGAACCCTGGTCCTGCACGTCCCGGGAAAGGCGACGAGCGACCCTCCCACCCACCGCCGGCCCGACGCCCCTTCCCGGTACCTGCGGCGGCGCCCGGCGTGACTGGCGCGGCTCCACCTGGCGGGCGGCTTCTCGGGCTCCACCTGGGCGGGCGGGGCGGCGTCCCGACCACTTAAAAGTTACTAAGAGCAACTCCGGCGCCTCCTGCACATGCGCAGAGCTGCGCCCAGGGCTCGCCGGGTTTGGCGCCTCCGCCCGCCCCGGTGTCCGCGGGCGCTGCGGGCGGGGCGCCCTGCGCGGTCCTGCGCCGCCGCCCGGCCCGAGGGTCACTGCGCGGCCCGCTCGGCAGCTCCAGCCCGCCTGCGGGGCCCGCCGCGGCGCACCCAGGGGCCGAGGAGGGCGCCGCCAGGGGCAAAATCTCTCTGCAGCCCCCTGGCACTAACCCGACCCCTCGAGGGGACACCTTGGGGGGACCTGAGCCAAGCTCAGGGAAGGCGCGCGGAAAGGGCTCCTCTTCTCGCCGGCCTCGGGTTCCGCCTTTGCAAACGTTCGTGATCGACCCTGTACTGCTCTGCATTTCCTCGACTGGCTCTTAAGCCCGCCCCGCGGATTGGGCTCAGCCTGCACCGCAGTCAGTGTCCACCGCGAATGGCCGAGCGTCCACTGCGAGTCCCCGGGGCTGTGCAGAGCCTGGACTGGGAGAGCTCTGGGGGGCCTCGGTTCGGGCCCAAACCGAGGAAGCAGTGTTTCCAGCGGTTCCCAGCGATCTGGTACTTCCCGGGCCCAGGTGGTACTGCCCGGGCCGCGGTGCCAAGGGCTCGTTCTGGCCCGGCTCTCTCACCTTCTTTTCCCCGGTGCAGTACTAGGGTGTTTCTCATGAACTGCTGGCCTCGGTAACTCTACTGTATGCTGGCCGAGGGCAGCCGCATGTGCACTCTGCCCAGGCTCTGCGAGGACCGCGCCCCCCACCCCTCACCCCTCTTAGCAGGAGCACCACCTGCCTGGTGCCACAAACTGCCTCCTCTGCCACATAAGCAAAACCGAGGGGGTGGGCAGAAACTCCCTCTCAGGTCCTTCTGCCACTAACCACCTGTAAATCCTGAACAGCTCTTCACTCAGCACATGGGCACTCTAGCAGTTCCGCTGGCCTCCCTTCCATCTCTGGGCTTTCCTCTCACTGTACTGATGAGAAAGGAGTGGGTTGTGATTGTCTCCTCCTGTTTCTCTGACAGTTCTTTCTGTCCCATCTGTTCCTCCTTCTGCCCCTAAGCCTCAGCCACCAGTTGTTTCCTAGAATTTGCCTTTGGTCCCTCACTGGTCCTTCTGTCTATGCCTGGCCATCTCGCCTCCCCTGTTCCCTACTGTTGCCAACAGCCCTGCCCCTGACCTCTGGAGAGTTCATGGATAGAGCCAGTTGAACTTCCCCTGGCTCATTAGGCTGTCTACTCTCTTCCCACCAGTCACCTGTCACTGCCCTCCTCCTTCTCCTGACTCAAGTCACGGTGCCACCACCTGCCTGGTTTGTACCATAGGGTCCCAAGAAGCCCAAGTATCTAACCCCAGCAATCAGATATGGTGAAGCCACTAACCAAAACAGAGTAAGAGACAGAAGAAGTCAGAATATTTGATTATAGAGAGATAAGGGATTTTTAAATTTGATTTTTTGGTAAGCGAAGTTTATTTCAAAATCAAGAGGTTGAAAATGGATCAAAGGGCCTCCTCTGGTGGAGCAGGCGGTTGAGCGCCACGCTGTGAAGCTGTCTGCAGCCTCTGCAGCACCGGTTCCATCCTGGCCGGCTGGCGAGAATCCCACATGGTATAGCAGACCTCTCCTGTCTCACCCGCTGCTCCCCTCAGCAGTGTATTTCATCAGTCTGCCTGTTCTGTTCCCTGCTCTGTCTCTGGTGAATCCTCTCACCCTCCCGCGCATCTGGCCTGTACCCCGGTTCTTGTATAAATAAATAAATAAATAAATAAATAAATAAATAAATAAATAAATAAATAAATAAATCTTTTAAAAAAATGGATCAGAATGTCAGTTGAATAACCTCAACCCCTATTATGTATCTAGCAGTTTGTGGAACGTTTATAAAAACAATATTCCCTTAAATGTCCAATGAATGTACAGAAATCAGGGATTGTTACCATTTAATAGAGAAGGTAGAGCAGATATTGCATTTACAAGGATTCCAAAACATCTATGCCCTAAGCTGAAATGCTTTATCAATGTCACAATTTAAAAGTACCCATAATCTTGGCATTCTAAAATGTTATATTCAACATTGTAACACTCCATTCATCTGTCCCCAAGTCTAAAGTGACCCACATTCTTGTAGTGCTGATGTTTTCAATCACAGATTGTTTTATTTTGTAGCAAGTAATACCAAAATAAAGCCCACTCACTGTGCACAGAAAGTAAAAATGTCAAGAATGACTAAAAACTTACTGCCTCAATCCTAAGAAAACAAACTAGGATCTGAATGCACTCCAGTCCCAGCTTTCTGTATTACTTATGTGAGGCTTGACCAAATCTCTTTTTAGTTCTTAGTTTTTCCTAATGAGGCTGACTGAATCCCTGTAGAACTTTCTGTTCCTCTTAATTTGCAGCATTCTGGGTAAAATATGGAAATACACAATAAAATATGGTTTCTTGGAAAATATACTTACTGTCTGGATTGGGAATGAACAACCCTTACTTAACCCTTGCTCCCAGGCTTAGCCCAGATCCAGTGAAAAGACACGGAAACAGACAAATTGGGTTTCTGCACTTAGGTTACAAAATATACACAGGTAAGTGCTTAAAACGTAGTGCCATGAATAATAGGAATAGCCAAGACTGGGAGGGAGCTATCAGTGGTGGCCAAAAAGTCTTGGTCCTGGGAAGCAAATATTAGGAAGGGAGCTGACAGAGGAAGCCAATTGGGAATTCAATGAAGAGCACATAGGCCCCCAGTGATTCAACAGTCCCAACCTCTCCTGGTGCTCTAGAACATTTCAGACATACGGATAAGCCAGGTCTCTTGGTGGCCACACCCCACACCTATGGTTCCAGCTTCCTTGGCACCAGCGCCCCATCCCAGGCACAGCTGCACTTCTGCACCCTCATGTTGGGCAGGCTGACCACCTGGGACCTGGCTCGACCCCCCTCCTTGATGCTAACAATCATGGGCAGTGAGGTGGCCTCTGAGGCAATGCACTGCCGTGGCCCCAGAAATGGCCACCTGAAGTTCTGGGATTCCGGGGGCTGCTGGCAGGTGCCCACGCACTCATAGGCCAGGAAGCCCGGGGGTTCCAGGACCCAGTTCTCAGCCCACTTCATCCCCTGCAGGTCAATGTACATCTCCTGGCGGCAGCAGCGGGTGCCCTCCATCACTGGCACCTCAGTGTCACAATTGCCCTGGGCTCTGTGGGACAAGGAGACACAAGGTCAGAGGTCAGCTGGGGAACCTGAGGTCAGGGGACCCAAGGCCCAGTTGGGAGGCGGTAGGAAGGGAGCATCTGGAAGAGAGATTTATGATCTGTCTCCCTTAGGTGCAAAAAGCTAAGACATTTGTGAGTAGGATGAATAGCTAGAAAGAATGTAAAGCAAGTAACACAGACTGCTATTCCTCCTAAGAGTCCCTGGAGAAATTTTACACAGTTATTCATAATCCTAGCACCAGGACAAGCTCTTTCAGTGGCAGTTTTATCCCCTATTTGTGTGTTCATGGGGTTCACCCGTCTGAGCCACAGCACCCACCCGTAGTCCCTGAGGTCCAGGGTGTGCAGCTCCAGCTGGGGCTCGGCAGGCCCTGTGCCCCACAGCCCCTGGGAGGCGAAGCGGACCAGCTTGTGGGCTCTGGAGGCCAGCGGGCCCAGGTGCTCCCTCTGCACGGACACCTGCAGCAGTAGGGGCTGCTGGGGCCTGCTCAGCTGCTGCCAGAAGTTCACAGCCTCGGTCACATCGAAGGTCTTCCAGCCGCTGTCGTGAATGGACACTAGCCTGCCACAAGGAGACAGGAGACAGCGCTGAGACCCGGGGACTGGGGCTGGCTGGGGTGGGGGCAGCAGTGCGTCTCCCACCTGCCTCACTATGGGCCCAGGCAGCGCCTACCCCCACTCCCCCACCCCCTTCTACACACCCACAGCCCCCAAACATGCTGGGCCCAACCTCCTCTCCTCTACCCCCCCGACCCCCACCCCCACTCCCCAGCCGTGACCTCTCTACCTGGAGTCGATGAGGGAGGTGCGGTTGGAGCCATCAGCACGCACATGCAGCCACTCCACGGTGACCCGGGCCCTGGCGCTGAGGGGGGACAGCTTGCACAGCGCGGCCTTGGGCACAGGCTCCTGGAACAGGTGCAGCACCGCCTGCACCAGCTCGCTGTGGGGCGGCAGCCGCTGCTCCATGCCAAACACCAGCAGGTATGTGGAGGCTTCGGATACCAGGAACCTGCCGGCCACCTCTGGGGACACAGCAATGTCAGGGGGCCTCTTCAGGCCCCACGGGAGCGCTGAGCACCAGGGGCACTGAGGGGGAGGGCCAAGTGGGGGAGCACAGCCCCTGGGCCAAGTCCAGTTACCCAAAACTCCCCCTGGGATCTGGGACCTTGTTGGTAACAGTCTCCACCCACCAGGAAGGGGCAGCTGGTAGTGGCCTCCTGGAGGCAGAACCCAAGGAGCCCTCACTCTGCTGTGCCTCTTTGAGGCTGAGCCAAGGTTCTTGCCACACCACCCACTCCCACTGCCCTGCTTCTCCTCTTCTCTGATGCTCTGGCACTGGCAGCAGGTCAGCCTGGCCCAGCTCCTCCTGGCCTGAAGGGTGGGATCCTCAGTGCTGACAGAGACAGGGGCCCTGGGCCCAGCCCTCATAGCCCATGGTCCCTTATCACTGCCCTGTGGGCCCTGGGCCACCAGATGGGTGCATGGTACATGGAGTCTTGGCTCATCACCACAACCACACCCAGGGCCAGGATGCAGCAGGGAGGGAGGCCTCACCTCGGAAGCGCTGGCTGAACCTCTTCCCTCGGGAGTGAGCCCCGTGGCTACGCTGCAGCAGGGCCACGTACTGGGCCCTCACATGGGCAGGAGTCACCATTTTGTCCATGTCAGCCTTGTCCAGGATGGGCACCTCACTGAGGTGCAGCTGCTGTAGCAGACTGCCCAGGATCTGCTCCTCGGTCAGGGCTGCCCCGGGGCCAGCCAGGGGGAGCACCCAGAGTGCCCAGCAGAGCCACAGGGGCCTCATGGAGCTGCTCAGGAGGAGGAGGGGCAGGCAGAGGAGTCCCTGGAGGAGGCTTCAGGAGGGTCCCAGCTGGGCGTGCTGAGAGCCAGGCTGGGCCAGCTTTATAGCCAGCCCTGGGCTGGCCTGGGTGATGGGAGGAGGGAGTGGGGAGGGAGGTCACACCCCTCAGACCTCCTGGGAGCTCAGCAGCCAGACAGATCCTTGTGCCCTGGGGAGGGGGCTGTCTAGAAAGGGCACAAAGGGCTGTCTGGCCCATGGACAGCTGGCTGTTGAGTTCTCTATAGCAGTGGTGATTCTTGACTGGGAGTGCCTGACTAGTTGAATTAAAAGGATTTTTTTCTTGGATAAGTGTTAGAGGTCTCATTCTCTGCTTGACCCCCATCCTGCCCGTAATAGGGGCCACTGGATCCTTGGTGTTTAGACTTGGAGTCCCATTCCTTGTTGGAAGATAGTGCTGGAAAGGAACTAAACTGCCCACTCAACACTAGGGCTCTCTAAGCACCAGTCCTGCCTGCAGGGTGAGCATCTGAGCCTTTCCGAGGGTTGCTGAGGGGCTGCTGAGATCCTAGGTGTCCAGGGTTGGGAAATCCAGTGCTTTCCACTGTTCCAGGGGGGCCTCTCTGGGCACAGGAGCCAGGGAATATTCAGCACTGATGTTTCATTCAATAAGGAACCCTCCTCTCCCTCTTCTTGTATTCACATGGATTTAGAGATTAGAGTTGAAAGGACCATCCAGTTGAGTCCCTCCTCCCCTGATATTTGAGCCAAGAAATTAAGGAGAGGTGGCAACCTCCCCAAGCTACACAGTTCATGATGCATGCCTGCTAAAGGCAGGTCTTCAATTCCAGAACAAAGTTCTTTTCATACCCACAAATTATTTCCAGCCCAAGTCCTACTTGACTCCCAGAGCCAACCAAGTGGACTCAATCCTGGTCATCAGGTCTGGACTGTGACATGGACAGGACCCCTGGTTCCCTGAGGCTTCTTTGATTTGAATGTGGATTTGCAGGCTGACTGAAGAGTTTCACTGGGCTAGCAGTCAGGGGTAGGGCTGTCATATGAAATACAGGACATAATTTCAGACAAACTAACAAATTATTCCTTGTTTCTCTGAAATTCGAATTCACTGGAGTTCTATATTTGTGTTTGTGAAATCTGTCAACACTTGTCCAAGAGACCAAAAGAAGAAAGCAAATGTGGATTACAAGGTTTTACAATGGGCTGATTAGTTGTGCAGCAGGAGGGCAGCCACACCCTTTGTTATGCAGAAAATGAGCCCTACTTCCCAGCCCACCCCACCCTGCTTCTACTGCAACCTGTATCTGGCCCAACACTGCAAGTCAGATCCTCTGAGGATGGTAAAGTGGCCCAGAGCCAGATCTGTCCTACGGGAAGAAAGAGGGCCAAAGGAAACACGTGGGTGGGTGGGGCATTGGAGGTTGGGGGGGCGGTGGAGGTTGTTAATTAGTACCCCTGACTGAAGACCATTTGAATCTGGCCTTGGGCCCAGAGCTGAGGACACCACAGAGGACAGTGGGTCTCCATCCTGGCATGTGGGCAGCAAACCTGGCACCAGGATAGTCCTGGAGAGGTGACGATGGGGGCTGAGCAGGGAGGAAGGAAGGTGAGGAGCCGGGACTTGAGCCCACTACCACCCTCCTGCCTCTGATAGTCCAGGTTTGTCCCAGGCTACGAGGTGAGGGCTTTGAGAAAATGTGGGTGTCAGAGTCATCCTGTGTCCTGAAGTGGAATGAATTGGGCTAAAGCCTGGCTCAAAACCAAAGGGGGCCCTGAGATTGGTGAAGGTTGGTACCCAAGAATAGGCTCACTTCTGGGTTAGAGTCCAGCATCTTGGAGTTTTCTGAGTGGTTCCCATTCCCTTCTTGGCCACAAGCAGTCACATCTTGTAAATGCTCCAGAAATATTCCAAGACCCAGCCCAGGTGTCCTATGTGGTCCCAATTGCCACCCATCAGCTTCCCTGACCTCAGACCTAGGGGCCCAAGCGGCTTCTTGGCGTCTCCAGACACATTCCTGGGTGGGCCTTCCTTATTCTCCCAGAGCAGCTTGGCCTCTGGCATCAGCCAGAGTGCCCTCCCCTGGGGCTCTTTGAGCCTGAAGGGTGGGCATAGGGCAGGAGTAAAGGCCCCTTCTTGGCTAGGTGAGTCCTGTTTACAAGCTGTGGCCTCTGGTGAATTTTCTGCCTCTTTCATGGGTCTCCTCCTCTGTAAAATGTGGATAATGTACTTTTTTTTTTTTGCTAGAAACTTGTCAGTGTTAATGGAGATGTCAGTGCTTTCTTAAGAAAGAAAAAGAAATCATTTTCTAAATAATGATGATTTTGCTCTTTGTTTCTGGTATTTATAGCTGAGCTTTTTTCTATGCTTTTTTTCTCTTCCTTTTGGATATTCACAGTCATCATGTACAAATTTCTTAGGAAATATCTTCAAACTAGCAGTATTTTGACTTATCAATGTCCTTTATACTTTATACTCATTCTATTATATATATATAATTCTGTTATATATAATATTTTATAATATTATATATATTATATATAATATTTTCATTCACTGAGGGGCCCCCAGGATCTATGGTGATAGTGGGCTCCACAGGTGGAGGCCCCATAAACAGTGAGTGAAACATCCCTTGCTCTTTCCTCTCTCCACGCATTTGCTATTTTTCTCTGAGCCTGCAATTTTAAAACTGTGTATCTTTCTACTGAAGTCTCCGTGTCTGGCATGAAGCAGGACAAGCTTCCAGCAGGGACATGAGTTCCCTATGCACTGAACTACCAGACCAAAACAGGAGCTTCTCTGCTGACTGGCAGACTAGACCCCCATGACCAAGGGGGACTGCCACACGACGGAGGCAAGGAAGACTGTGCCTAACACCCAGGGCTGTCTCCTATGTCTTCTTGATACTCTCTTCACCAAGTGGTGAATTGAAAACTACAATAGGGGCCTCCCTGGTGGCACAAGTGGTTAAGATGCAACACTGTGAGGCTGTCTGCAGCCACTGTAGCACGAGTTCGATCCCTGGCCAGGGAGTGACCTACATGGCTCAGCAGACCTCTCCTGACTCACCTGCTGCTCCCCTCAGCAGTGTATTTCAGTACATCTGCTGTTCTGCTCCCCACTCTGTCTCTGGTGAATCCTCTCACCCACCGCATCTTTGGCCTGCATGCCAACTCTTGTACACATGAATAAATAAATCTTAAAAAAAAAAAAAACCACTACAATAATGGGATGACTGAGGACTCAGACTGTTCAGGAATGAAGATTTGGGTCATTCCAGAACCTGGAGCAGGGGAAGTTCTAACAGAGGGCAAAGGATATGTGGAATGAGCAGTGATGAAGGAAACTCTACACACTAATTATAACCTTGTGGCCAATTACAGAAATGGCTTTGCCTCATTTCTCTCTGCGTGTTAGAGGCAGGTGTTGATTTATATGAAGTAATCCTTCTCTGGCCTTCTTTCCCTTTTTAAAAATGCTATATATTGAACTATTGAAGATTATCTTTATCATTTTTATTTTTTTTTTAATAGAGGCATGTTTTTTATTTATTTGTTTGTTTGTTTTTTTTTTTTTTTTTTTTTTTTTTGTTTATACATGCACTGGGTATAGTCAGAAGCGCGGGAGGGTGAGAGAATTCACCAGAGCCAGAGCAGGGAGCAGAGCAGGCAGAAGGACCGAAGTACACTGCTGAGGGGAGCAGCGGGCCACAGGAGAGGTCTGCTGGCCATGTGGGACCCTCCTCCGGTGGCCGGGGAGCAGCCGGGGAACGAACCGGCGCTGCAGAGGCTGCAGGCAGCTTCGCAACCCAGCGCTCAACCGCTGCGCCACCGGGGAGGCCCTATCTTTATCATTTTTAAAAGATTTTATTTATTATTTTTGCATAGAAGAAACGGGGTATGGGCCAGAGGTGAGAGGGTGAGAGAATTCGTCAGAGACAGAGTGGGGAGCAGAATAGGTGGATCCACTGAAATACACTGCTGAGGGGAACAGCAAGCGAGACAGGAGAGGTCTGCTGTGCCATGTGGGTTAGCTCCCTGGCTGGGGATGAAACTCAGGCTACTGAGGAGGGCCTTAGCGTGGTAGCACTGAGACTCAACCCCCACACAACCAGGGAGGCCCTATTTTTATTATTTAATAGGAAACAGAATTTTCACTGAGTCCATGAGCAAATTTAAGGAGTAAGTAATATAGCTTATGATGAGCTTATAAGCTCACTGTACTGTGAGCTTTCTTGATCTTGAGAGCGAGGAAGTCTTCCCTGGCAAGGATAGATGGATCTCGCTGTGTGGAAGGATAGAGTTGTTTCCTCATACAGCTGTTCAAATGTGCAGACAAGCTGCATATGGAATCTGAGTAAATGTGTTTCCATTTATTGCCTTTCAGCCCTGGATGCATCCTGCACTGGAATAAGTGGACTGGAAATTGAATGAATGAGTACAAATGACCGTTGAATATATTAGAAGGGTTTTAAGACTTTATCTAGAAGTTGGGTGATATTTTTGTGGCCAGGAATATACCAAGGAACTGAACTCTTATGGTAAAGTTGGTTTCATTTTAGGTCGTTTGGATTAAAGTAGCAACTTCCAAGAACCTATCCACAATGTTAAGTGAGGACTTACTGTATTGGACAGGAAGAGGAAGTGGGAGAAGAAATGGCTGGCGTGGTGGTCATAGTACTGCCTGTGTCCCATATTCAGAGCCCACCAGAGTCCGGGGAGGCCTTAATCCCTGCCCCTGAGCTATACCAACACTCTACCTCCCATCTGGTCTCCTCAGTTACCACAGTGAGGCCTGGCCTCCCACACCACCCAGTGCTGTTAGCAGTAGAAACATGTCAACCACTGGAACATGAAGAGGGACTGACTGCCACTGGGTCCTCAGCCCCCCAGGACTCAAGCCTGACAGTGTGTGGGGAGCTGCCCACAGCTCCTGAGGAACTTGCAGTATGCCAGGGAGGGTGAAGGGACACACCTCAGCTAAGTGAGTCAGGTACTTGGAGACCTGTGGTTGCACAGTGCCCCAGTCACCAGTTTTTCAAGGCCCCCATCTTCTGTCAGAACTGGGGGT